TTATTTCCTTTCTCTGCTGTATTGTGCAACGATGACACTGAAATTTCTCCACTGTGAGACTAATAAAGGTTTATCTTATCTTATCTTATAATTGTATTTTTGTGTGTTTTTTGTCTGTTTTTATGTTAAATGGACTCTTCATGTGTCTGAATTAAAGATTAAATAAAATAAATAAATAATCAACAAGGTCATGACTCCCCATCCTTCCACACCACCTCCCACCGTCGCAGCATCCACTCCCCACTTTTCACATGCATGGATTGTTGACAGAAAAGTGGAAAATAGAGAACCAGCCTCACTCAGCCAATCAGCTTTGTACCAAAGTGTCAGCATGTTGTGCTCTGATTGGTTCATATTTTACTTTTACAAACCGGTTCTTTTGGACAAACTACTGAGTTGTGAGAATGTTCCAAGTCTGAGGCAAAGAGCCAAAGAAATGTGAGCGAACACTGACACCTGGTGGACAGATGGAGTCAAAACAGACTTTTCATTCCAAATTCACAAACTAAGACTTTGATCTTTCTGTAATCACAAGTGATTGTAGAAGTAAGATATATAGCTGTTTCAATCTGGAGGGACTCAGAAGACAAAATGCAGTTTGAATGTTTTATTGATAGGTAGTTTGGCGTCCTAGGCCCCCGTGCGGCAATTAGGGCCAGCGAGGCTCCTGCTGAGTCCGTGCACGTTCCCCCCGGGACCTAGGAACGGGTGGTGTCATTAGGGCAGCAGGAAGAGCGCACGCTCGAGAAAGGAGAGAGAGGCGGAGGAGGGGAGGCGGTGGTTTGCGAGGCTTGAGAAGGCCGTGAAGTGGGAGTCTCCGCTTTTAAGCTGCTTGCCTGGCCTGCATAGGTTGGCTGGGAATGGGCGTTTGCTGTGTGATAGGCCGAGGAAGTGTGGCAGGCCTGGAGGGGATAGGCTTTAGCAGTCAGTCTTCCAGAGTGAACCTTCGCGAAGCTCCATATTTGAGAAATAGGTGTAAATGTCTTATTCCACCTGGATAAGGGACAGGGCCAGGACGAGGACCAGGTCCAAAGATAGGACCAGGACCAGATAGATAGAATAGATGAATACTTCATGGATTAAGAAAGAAATTGTGCATTAGTCCCTTGCTCACATTCGCACAAACACAGCAGGATAAATATAAAAGATAAAACATCATTTGAAATAACAATAAATGCATAAAAAGAGTTAAGGCACTGCAAGACAATTATCATGACACCTCCCTCTCTGCTCCCCCTCTGCTCCCAAGGTCTCAGAGCAACAGCACTGGTTTGAATCATATTTATTGGATTGGTATCAGTTTGTCATTATGGATCAAAACTCTTCCTCTTATTCTAAAGTAAACTTCGATGATCCACAAGGATCGGTAAAAAGGCAGATCAGTTAAAAACATAGATGACTCTCAACTATCTGCTCCTCAATCCTGAAAAGACAGAAGTGATAAATCACACTCGCTAACGTTAGCATAGCACCCGGAAGAGAGGGTGGAATCTTGGAGTTGTAATCGACCAAGAACTCTCCTTCAAGGCTTATATAAACCAAGCATCTAAAACATTGTATTTCCACCTGCGCAGCATTAATAAAATCAGGACTATCTTTCCTAAAAGTGATGCGGAAAATGAATCCACGCTTTTGTCGCCTCAAGGCTTGACTGCTGTACTCTTTATAGAGAGAATCCTCTATAAAGAGCTTTCAGCTCCTTCAAAACACAGCAACCAGGATCTCAACAGGTATATGGGAGAGTTCTGCTAATCTTTCAGCACTACTGAGCACAAGCCACTGATTTGAATAGGAAAACATACTGTACATTTGTGGCAGATGGATGTGGACTTTGTACCATCAACAATTCTGAGAACTCCTCACTTTTAAGCATTTCTTTCTTTCCTTCCAACCAACAACAACATTAGTTGATCAAGAATCAAACAACTGTGATGTTCTGACTCGTAACACCCACATAAATCCGAGGTTGGTGAAAAAGTATGTGTTGGTTTGATAAAGTGTGGGCGGCCCTGGTCTACAGTCACTTTGTGATCACGTGTATCGTAGAAACAAGTCTCAGTTTGTGTTTGTGTGTTAGCAGCATGGATCTATTATAATAACTGGATAGGGTGTTAAGTAAGTAAGTAAGTAATCTTTATTTACAGTGGGGCAAAAAAGTATTTAGTCAGCCACCGATTGTGCAAGTTCTCCCACTTAAAATAATGACAGAGGTCTGTAATATTCATCATAGGTTCACTTCAACTGTGAGAGACAGAATGTGAAAAAAAATCCAGGAATTCACATTGTAGGATTTTTAAAGAATTTATTTGTAAATGATAGTGGAAAATAAGTATTTGGTCATTTCAAACAAGGAAGATCTCTGGCTCTCACAGACCTGTAACTTCTTCTTTAAGAAGCTCTTCTGTCCTCCACTCGTTACCTGTATTAATGGCACCTGTTTGAACTCATCTGTATAAAAGACACCTGTCCACAGCCTCAAACAGTCAGACTCCAAACTCCACTATGTCCAAGACCAAAGACCTGTCCAAGGACACCAGGAAAAGAATTGTAGACCTGCACCAGACTGGGAAGAGTGAATCTACAATAGGCAAGCAGCTTGGTGTGAACAAATCAACTGTGGGAGCAATTATCAGAAAATGGAAGACATACAAGGCGGTGCACTGTATATACCGCCTTTCACAGACCAGAGTCACAAAGCGGTTTACAATTGTTATTTTGGGCAATTGTCCACTCACTCCAGAGATGGGAGCGGGGTCGCCAGAACAGGAGGCGCATGCACAGTACTATTGTACATATTTTTAGTGGTAGGAGAAACCAGAGTACCCGGAGGAAACCTGTTACTAGCTTGGAGCTGAAGGACCATGTGCTCGAGGGATTCTCACGGTACTGCAGACTAAACCAGACTAAAACAGACTAAATTAACGTGGGCTACCCAGAAATGTTCCCCGTAGACCTCAATGTAAACTAAAACAGCTCAACCTCAGCTGACTGAGAACCTGACAAGGAACCTGACAGAGAACCTGACAGAGAACCTGACAGAGAACCTGACAGAGAACCTGACAGAGAACCTGACAGAGAACCTGACTGAGAACCTGACAGAGAACCTGACAGAGAACCTGACAGAGAACCTGACATAGAACCTGAGAGAGCATCTACAGCTTTCACAAAGGACGGATTTTGTGGGGATTCTAGTGTCCCTTGTCATCCTGAACTTTTTTCTTCGTCTTAAACCCTTTGGTTTTCTTTAAATTCAAACTTTAGTGCCACAAACTCTGCTCTGATCAGCAGCTCTGATTGGTCATGTTTTTGTTTACTGTACGAGAGCCACACACACATATTTGGCGCAAAGCATCATGGGAGCTCGTCCACTGCACAGAACTGGAAGGACCAGACAATGCCCAAATATGGGCGAGTTCCGCCAATCTCTCGGTGCCCGTGGTGGCACATGTGCCACTGAGCACAAACCATTCATTTGAATACGACGCCCTCTTGTATCGCCGGGGCTTGGTTTGCGGCCATCTTAATTCCGGCCGTAGTTTGACAGTTAAATACAGGCTTGACAAACAAATACATTTGCAAAACAGCTTTAAGCTTTCACCACAACAGGCAGGGAGCCGTCACTTATGAATTTATGGACAAAACTTCAGTCAATCTTGACTTCAACTTTCAACCCCAGTCGAGGAAACAGTTCTTACTCACATTTTGCAGCTGTTGATGATGTCTGTTGGACTTGTCTCATTCTACCTGCTCTATGGTAAGAATCTGGTTCTATTAAAATATTTATCAAGATATGTTTGTTTCAGGAGGCCAAGGTTAACTGTTGTAAATAGTCTGTTTGTTAGAATGGAGTTTTCTATGTGTGATGTCTAAAGGATTTCACTTTCCAATACTTTTGACATGAATATTATTACATTCCCTCTTTAAAAGCCACACAAACATAATAAGGAACCACACCAAGTAGTAAACAACAATACAAGACACCTCTGTCTTTAGCATGTTGTATCTTCTCTCGATAAATCCTTAGTTTAAGAATATGAAGGTAGTGAGTCATTAGCTCTGAGGGTTCAGATGTTCACAGTGATGATGATACTGTGTCAGACTTTGAAACAAAAGTTATACATACATTTGAAAGAGGGACATTTCTACTTCCCATTGTATCAAACGGTATTAAGTTACACCTGTATTTAACCTATGGATGAGCCTTTGATGTCATTGTTAAGAAAGAATGCAACATTCTTCAAAAACGTATTATTGTAGCAAAGCAGTGGCTGTTGTGTTGTGTGGAAATTGGTGGAAAAATATATAAATCTTGAAGTACTTAAAACCAAGGTTAGAAGTTTGACTTTTCAGATTCATATCAGACTCAGATCCAGTTTATTTGCCATCTGCAGTAAAACCACATTGGAATACATAGGCAAAAGTCCCCAGTATGCCCCAGACAAGAACATAAATAGTTTCAGAGCAGTCAGTTTGACAGCTTTTATTTTTATTTATTTATTTGTTCCTTCCGAGCCCACAACAGTGAACATTTGTACACACAACAAGCATCCAAATGCACAATGTTGCACCAGTGGAGACCACACCAACACATACAACCCACATCACTAATGCACCCCTGCAAAGAAACAATAAATAAAACAAGCTTTACATATTCACAAAGGCCTTATTGTTGTTTACACAAATTGCTCCATGAGCTCGAAATGGAGTGGGAAGAAGAAAAACGTATAAACTCCCACTCCATGTATATTATGATAAATCATAACAGTTTCATAAAAATAGTAATAACTACATCACATTTGTTGCAAAACAGTCAATATATATATATACATATATATTTATATATACTGTATATTTCTATACACATATATTGTGCAACCCTCTTAATAATTAGTAAAATTAGCAGACCTTAAGCCCTCTGGTTTCCAGGGTTACAGACGGAACGATTAGCCTGACTCGACCCTCTGAGTTTGCCCAACTTCCGCTGTGGTTCAGTTGCTGAGATGAGACCCCCAGCTCTTCCTCCGTCACTGCCCACGGCCTCCTCAGGTTTGAGGGTTCGCTCCTGGTGTTTCCGGCTCTTGGTATTTCGTCAGGTGTGGCTTTGGTGGTCAGATTCTGACCCCCTGAACAATTTAGTGGTGGATGACAGCTGTAAATAACCTACAGAGAGAGTAATTCAAAAACCTCTAGACCTTAGTTTAACACTTAAAGCTGCACTAACTGACTTTATTTTTGTATTCATTAAGAAAGTGCTATCCATGTCCATGCAGTGCATTGGGATATACGTCCTTTTGAAGTAAAAGTAGCACAGGTTTGTGCTGGCGTGACATTATATTTTAGATTGAGTTTTGATGAAACAAGGAAGAGAATGTTTTTCGGGACCAGATTGTGACCAATCACAGCGGACCACTGGCCCCCACTTTCGTGAGAAATCTACAGGTCTCCGTTAGCATAGACGGCTGAGTTAGCACAACAAGCCGAGGAGCTAACCTGAAGCTTCCTTGTCTTCGTCACCGGTTACTGCTTACACAGCGAAACATCCATCCAAAAGAAAGTCTCGTTCCTCCGCGCTTCCCGGTTCTATTGTTCTATGGTCACGCCATCCACGTGCAAATGTGCGATATATGATTCTATCCATATTGGGAGACGCTAGCTCCGTAAACAACAGTGGGTGTGCGGTAGTGGGGGGCGTTAGCTTCGTGGGTGCGGGGAGGGGAGGAGAAAGAGCGAGGCCAGCGAGTCCGCTGCTTCGAAATCCCAAAGTCAGTTAGTGCAGCTTTAACAGACGTTGTTTCCATGAAAATGACTATAGAGAAGTAATTTTAGGTAATTTTATTGCAGGAATAATTCCATAAATTCCAAAAGCACAGCAAATGCAAAGTTGATACAAAATACAATGGTGAGATACTAATAATAACTAATACAACCTTATTTGGTGTCAGCCTCCCAGCCCCACTTCCTCCTTTTTACGCCGCAGCTGCTCCCCGGCTCGCGGCCCTGTGAGCGCTGGTGGTGCCGACTCTGTGAGAGCGCTCTCGTAAATCACTGGCGTTCTCCCTCTGCGTGTAACTCTTCTTTTCTATTTTGGCCGACAAAGGACCACAAAAGTGGGCCCAGCAAAGCTAAGCGGCTCGAAGCCCAAGACCCAGAACAGGCCTTGCTCCCCGGGTTGTCCAACCCAGTGCTCGTCGCTCTACCTGCTGTAAGCAGGGAGATGTTTCCACAGCCCTTCTGCCGTAAATTATCCCCTGAAGTTGTTGGCTGATCAAACGCCAGGCGATGAAAGGACTGCGTCTAGTCCTTGGAGGTTGTTTCCAATCCTACTCCACGGAGACATCTCCTCGTCTCTCTTCTGATTCTAGCCTTTATAGCCCTCCAAGATTATACGCATGCCCAAATTTGGTTCTTCGTTTGTCACTTTCCCATTGCTATGTCACCATCAACGCCTCTGCTTCCTCAATGAGAACTTTCCAGAATTTAGCAAGCCCTCTCAGAGTTCCACAATCAATGCTCCTGTCATACAATCTTGTAATACACATGAAAGTAAAACATATCAAAATATAGAGCCCACATTCTATAATACTTTTGGTTACATGAGAATATAAAATACAACATATTCCAGTGTGATATAAAACTTAAGTATAGCCTACAAGAAAGCCCCATTACCCCCTTCTCCTCAACTTCTGATTAAATTCAACTCATTCCTTTCAACACATTACACATTACAAAGACTATATACATCCATCCATTTTCTTACGCTTTATCCGTTGCCGGGTCTAACAGTCAGTGGCTCCATAACAGTCGAAGCAGAAATGCCCAGACTTCCCTCTCCACACATGCTTCCTCCAGCTCATCTGGGAGAATCCTGAGGAGCTCTAGGGCCAGCTGAGAGAGAGTCCAGGAGCGAGCCACCACAGCGAGTGACTGAAGCAGCGGCTCTATTCAGAGCTCCTTCCTGTTACTTACATGTCAAAAAATTGATTTTGATTCTTATTAGTTGAAAGTCCGTCTGAAGTCCCTCAGAAGTCCAACAACTGAACACAGCTTTGGTGCAGATCAGGGCCATTCTTCCACTTCACCGCTCTCCAAGTGTCACTGGCGTCCCCCACATGGGCGTTGAAGTCCCCCAGGAGAATAAGTCCCCGGTTAGTGCATGGTTCAGTATCCCTTCCAAGGACTGCAAGAAGGCTGGGTACTCTGCACTGCTGTTAGGCCTGTAGGCACAACAACAGTGAGGGACTTGTCTCGAAGGTGGAGGGACGCGACAGAGGGCGCAGGGCCAGTAGACAATCTGGAGGAGCTGCAGACATTCACAGCTCACCTGAGGCAATCTGTACATGGCGAAAATATTATCAATATTTTTAAAAAATCTGGCCTTTACAGACGAGTCGTAAATAGAAAGACTGTGTTGAAATAAATCCACAAGAAGCAAAGTGGGACGTATCCAACATGTGGAAGAAAGAGCTGTGGCCTGACACTATGAGTGACGGAAAACCACTACTCACTCTACCCCATTGTCAAAGCTGGTGGTGGCAGTATCATGCTGTGGGACATCATCCTAAACCCACTAACCTCTGTCTTTCCCAATCCAGGCTCCGCCCTTGTGCACTGTGTTATTGTGTACAAATATATAAACTTAGAAAAGACCTGGGATGATGCTCGTGAGTACTGCAGGGAGCACCACAAGGACCTGGCCACGGTGGAAAACACAGAAGAAGTGAAGAAGTTACCGATACCCTCTGGACACACCGCCTGGATCGGACTGTATGATGACCCCGCCTCCTGGAAGCAGATGACTGGTACCCTGGTGACCCCCAGAACGCCGGTGGAAAACAACTGTGTGTCCTCATGCAAAATGGTTTCTGGTTGGATCAAGACTGTACCACTACATATGCCTTTGTTTGTTACCGAGGTGAGATTTGTTTGTATGTATTTGTTTTTGGTTATTTGTATTTGTATCTCTGACACTCACCTTTACTTCATCAGTCCAACCATCAGGCCTTAAAGAGTACTTCTGGATAACTTCCCTAAAGACCTGGTCTGACTCTCAGTCCTACTGCAGACAGAACTATCATGACCTGGCCACGATCCAGACCTCTGCAGAAAACCAGGCAGTGAAGGATCTTCTCACCTCCTCAACATCCATAGTCTGGATCGGTCTGTACCGGGTCTCCTGGAGGTGGTCCGACGGCAGCCCCAGTACCTTCAGGAGTTGGTTAACAGGGGAGCCAGGCAATTCAGGAGGATCAGAGCACTGTGGTGTTCAGTATGATTGCTTTTGGCATGATTACCCCTGTTCCTTCAAACAACCGTTTGTCTGCCAAGGTAAGATAAATGTCTTTGAGAAGTATTTGGTTCACATCCCATTGTCCCTCATAAGTTATACCCATGAATGGGAAGAGATGAGTTTCTGGTCTTTGGTAGTTCTGGTTACGATCTTCTTTTGCAAAAACTGCAGCAGAACCGACTCCTCTACAGTCTCTACAGTCTCTACAGTCTCTCTACAGTCTCTACAGTCTCTCTACAGTCTCTACAGTCTCTAGTCTCTACAGTCTCCTCTACAGTCTCTACAGTCTCTCTACAGTCTCTACAGTCTCCTCTACAGTCTCTACAGTCTCTCTACAGTCTCTACAGTCTCTACAGTCTCTACAGTCTCCTCTACAGTCTCTCTACAGTCTCTACAATCTCCACAGTCTCCTCTACAGTCTCTACAGTGTCTCTACAGTCTCTACAGTCTCCTCTACAGTCTCCTCTACATCTCTCTGGATGTTGTTGAAATGCAGGGGATCCAGAACCCCAACAAATACAATAATCATATTTCTCTACAGATATAATAAATTTAAATAACAAATATAATATTCTTATTACACGCTCCTCACAGCAGCAGTAGAACGCTCCATTGATTTGAATGTAATTTCAAAACGTTCTACGGTCATTATTTTCTATAACGGACCTCTCAAAACAATAATGACCGCTGCCCTTTGGCAACGCACTCTCTGCTTGTCTTTCAGATGCGTGGATAACTCCGCAAGTAGTTCCGGCCACTCCGGAGCTAGCCACGCTCAATCAACACGCTTAAATGTTAATCGGAGAATACTTATACATTACTGGTCTTGTCTTCATGACAAAAATACTATTTCTCTGCGTCAAAAAGCGATCGTGAAAAACCCGGAAGTAGTTCCGGCCGCTCAATAAACGCAAATGCCAATCAATCAACGCAATGAAATGTTAATCGGAGAGTAATTTATACATATCCAGTCTTAATACAAGTGCACGGAAGTTTTCAGAATTTTCCGTTTACGTTTTCATGACAAAAACACTGATGTAATGCGAGAAAAGGCGATCTCGAAAAACCCGGAAGTAGATACCGGCACATTTTAGGAACATTTGCAGAGGATGGAATTATGGATTTAGGTTAAGTTTATGTTTGGGTCACTCACCGCTGATGTTCAGGATTCTTTGTTCAGTTTTCATGCCGTTCCAGAGAGTTCTAGTTTGGAAGTTGCCAGCCTAACTGTTACTAGCATAAACCTTTCGGCATTCCTAAAAGTGGACTGAAGTTTATATTGTGTGTTCTGTTGGTACAAAGCCGTATAATAAGCAGACCGCAGTCCGCTTCGCCCTGTCGGTACTTATTTTCCGATAATGACCTGCGTAATATACGTTATCCCTTACATATTTGTAAAAAAAAAAAAAAAATGAAATGATATAATATCAGGCTCTGCTGACGCGGAGGGTCTACTGTTGGTTTGTTGAACTTGGCTCAGGATTCACACTTTTGTGCTTCTTTAACACACACAGATGCGATTTCAAGGACCCAGACTAAGATTACGCTCCAGACGACAGCGAACATGTGCGAGAAGACGATTAGAGACAAGTTTTTACGAGCAGTAAGTTCACAAATGTCTGAGTAACTGTGATGTACAGAAGTCTGGATGTTCATTATCGTCCTCACAGCTGGAAGAACGCTTGGGCCCGGGGTTCTCAGTGAAGTGGCACCGTCTGCCCACAAGGAGATGAGTGATGTCACCGCACACAGGCAGAGGAACGCACTATCGATCTCTGGAGCAACGCTGGGGATTAAGGCTGCCCTCTGGTTCACTGTAACTGGTTCTGGTTCACTTTAGCTGGTTCTGGTTCACTTTAGCTGGTTCTGGTTCTCTTTAACTGGTTCTGGTTCACTTTAACTGGTTCTGGTTCTCTTTAGCTGGTTCTGGTTCTCTTTAGCTGGTTCTGGTTCACTTTAACTGGTTCTGGTTCACTGTAACTGGTTCTGGTTCACTTTAGATGGTTCTGGTTCTCTTTAACTGGTTCTGGTTCACTTTAGCTGGTTCTGGTTCACTTTAGATGGTTCTGGTTCTCTTTAACTGGTTCTGGTTCACTTTAGCTGGTTCTGGTTCTCTTTAGCTGGTTCTGGTTCACTTTAACTGGTTCTGGTTATCTTTAGCTGGTGTTGGTTCACTTTAGCTGGTTCTGGTTCACTTTAACTGGTTCTGGTTCACTTTAGCTGGTTTTGGTTAACTTTAGCTGGTTCTGGTTCACTTTAACTGGTTCTGGTTCACTGTAACTTGTTCTGATTCACTTTAGCTGGTTCTGGTTCACTTTAACTGGTTCTGGTTCACTTTAGCTGGTTCTGGTTCACTTTAGCTGGTTCTGTTTCACTTTAGATGGTTCTGGTTCACTTTAACTGGTTCTGGTTCACTTTAGATGGTTCTGGTTCTCTTTAACTGGTTCTGGTTCACTTTAGCTGGTTCTGGTTCACTTTAGATGGTTCTGGTTCTCTTTAACTGGTTCTGGTTCACTTTAGCTGGTTCTGGTTCTCTTTAGCTGGTTCTGGTTCACTTTAACTGGTTCTGGTTATCTTTAGCTGGTGTTGGTTCACTTTAGCTGGTTCTGGTTCACTTTAACTGGTTCTGGTTCACTTTAGCTGGTTTTGGTTCACTTTAGCTGGTTCTGGTTCACTTTAACTGGTTCTGGTTCACTGTAACTTGTTCTGATTCACTTTAGCTGCTTCTGGTTCACTTTAACTGGTTCTGGTTCACTTTAGCTGGTTTTGGTTCACTTTAGATGGTTCTGGTTCTCTTTAACTGGTTCTGGTTCATTGTAACTGGTTCTGGTTCACTTTAGCTGGTTCTGGTTCAATTTAGATGGTTCTGGTTCTCTTTAACTGGTTCTGGTTCTCTTTAGCTGGTGTTGGTTCACTTTAGATGGTTCTGGTTCACTCTAGCTGGTTGTGGTTCACTTTAGCTGGTTCTGTTTCACTTTAGATGGTTCTGGTTCTCTTTAACTGGTTCTGGTTCACTTTAGATGGTTCTGGTTCACTTTAGCTGGTTCTGGTTCACTTTAACTGGTTCTGGTTCTCTTTAACTGGTGTTGGTTCACTTTAGCTGGTTCTGGTTCACTTTAACTGGTTCTGGTTCACTTTAGATGGTTCTGGTTCACTTTAACTGGTTCTGGTTCACTTTAGCTGGTTCCGGTTCACTTTAGATGGTTCTGGTTCTCTTTAACTGGGTCTGGTTCACTTTAGATGGTTCTGGTTCACTTTAGCTGGTTCTGGTTCACTTTAACTGGTTCTGGTTCTCTTTAGCTGGTGTTGGTTCACTTTAGATGGTTCTGGTTCACTCTAGCTGGTTGTGGTTCACTTTAACTGGTTCTGGTTCACTTTAGCTGGTTCTGGTTCACTTTAGCTGGTTCTGGTTCACTTTAGATGGTTCTGGTTCTTTTTAACTGGTTCTGGTTCACTTTAGCTGGTTTTGGTTCACTTTAACTGGTTCTGGTTCACTTTAACTGGTTCTGGTTCACTTTAGCTGGTTCTGGTTCACTTTAGCTGGTTCTGGTTCACTTTGGGGAAAACGCTACATTAGTTGGTGAGCAAGATGGCGCCGGGTCAGGGCGCCTCAGTAAGAGCTCTGGTGTGCACTATCTGTTCCATGTTGTTTATATTCGTCTGTGATACACTTGCCACCGTGAGGTACGACCGAGAGACACTTCTCTACATTCGGGACCGAGCTTGTGGAGTATCGCAGGTCTTACCCGAACTGAGGTGCTTGGACTTCATTGAGTGCCCCACTCGTGAGGCCCGTCAGACATGGCAGGCGGGCCGCGGCAATGGCCGCGAACAGAGCGGGGGGACTGGGCGTCTCCACCGTGCTCTCCGCGGTGTGGAGCTGGGTACCGGGAGCCGACGAAGGAGGCGCAGACACCGGGGAAAACGAGGCGGTCTGCTCGTGAGATGCCGCTCCTGCAGGACCGCTCTGCCCTCCATCTACCTGGCGAATGTACAGTCTCTGCCCAATAAGACAGACGAGCTCCTGTGTCGTATCCAGAGCCAGCGAGAGGCCCGAGACTGCGCTGTGTTCTGTCTCAGCGAGACGTGGCTCCACACGAACGTACCGGACTCTGCTGTTCAGCCCCCGGGATTCACCGTTCACCGCGCGGACAGAGATAAGGAGACCACGGGGAAATCCAGAGGTGGAGGTGTGTGCTTTTTAATTAATCAGCGCTGGTGCACGGATACTCGCATCGTGAACCAAACATGTACTGCCAATCTGGAATGCCTGGTCTTGAGCTGTCGCCCTTTTTATCTTCCGCGGGAGTTTTCTGTGATATTTTTATGCGCTGTTTACATCCACCCACGAGCGGACTATACTGTAGCACTACAGGATCTGAGCGAGATCCTTCATAAATACGAGACTGCTCATCCTAATGCAGTGATTATTGTCGCTGGGGATTTTAACAAATGTAATTTAAAGACTGTACTCCCAAATTTCTACCAACATGTGACTCGAGCTACAAGAGGAGCACAGATCCTGGATCACTGCTACAGCAATATGAAGGGCAAGGCAAGGCAAGGCAAGGCAAGTTTATTTGTATAGCACAATTCATACACAAGGCAACTCAAAGTGCTGAACAAGATAGCATTAAAATCATAAATAATCACAGAACATTAAAAAGAAAGATAAAAATATAAAATCCCTCAGTTGTATGCACAGCTAAACAGCACCGTTTTTAACCTGGTTTTAAACATTGTCAGAGAGGAGGCCTGTCTCACATCTTCAGGAAGATTGTTCCAGATTTTAGCAGCATGAATCTGAAAAGCAGCCTCCCCATGTTTAGTTCTGACTCTGGGAACTAACAGGAGTCCAGTCCCTGTGCTCCTCAGAGTCCCAGCAGGAGTCCAGTCCCTGTGCTCCTCAGAGTCCCAGCAGGAGTCCAGTCCCTGTGCTCCTCAGAGTCCGGGCTGGTTCATATGGGACTAACATGTCACTAATATATTTTGGTGCGAGGCCATGGAGAGACTTGTACACAAGCAGAGCTGTTTTAAAGTCTATTCTCTGAGCCACAGGAAGCCAGTGCAGGGACCTGAGGACTGGACTAATGTGGTCGTACTTCCTGGTTCTAGTCAGGACTAATGTGGTCGTACTTCCTGGTTCTTGTCAGGACTCGAGCTGCTGCATTTTGAATGTACTGCAGCTGTTTTACAGCCTGTTTGGAGAGACCTGTGAGCAGGCCATTGCAGTAGTCTAACCTACTGGAGACAAATGCATGGATAAGAATCTCCAAGTCTGCTTTAGACACTATGTTTTTGATCCTGGCAATGTTTTTTAGATGGTAAAAAGCTGCTGATGTTACTGATTTGATGTGGCTATTAAAATTTAAGTCTGAGTCCAGTATTACCCCTAGATTTCTGACCTTGTTTGAAGGTTTTAGGGAGAGAGACTGTAGATGACAGATGACGCTCTCTCTTTGTTTCTGGGGACCAAAGACAATCATTTCAGTTTTGTCTGCGTTTAGCTGAAGGAAGTTGTTTTGCATCCACTCACTGATCTGTTGGATACAGTGAAGGAGTGAGTCCACTGGTCCATGTTCTCCTGCAGTCAGTGAGACATAGATCTGAGTGTCGTCTGCATAGTTGTGATAGGACACTTTGTTTCTGCGTATTAACTGACCTAACGGCAGCATGTAGAGATTGAACAGAAGAGGTCCCAGGATCGACCCCTGTGGGACTCCACAGGTCAGGGCCATATGATCTGAGACACAGTTTCCAATCTCCACAAAGTACTTCCTGTCTTCAAGGTAAGACCTAAACCAACTTAGGGCGGTGCCAGCGACGCCAACCCAGTCCTCTAGTCTCTGTAAGAGGATCTCATGGTCGACAGTATCAAAGGGAGCTTACAGGTCCAGTCTCCGACCTCCATTTGGAAAGTCCGACCACTCCTCTGTTCTCCTTCTTCCCTCATACTCTCAGAGGAGCAGGGAACATAAACCAACCTCACGCACTGTGCAGTGTTGGTCCGAGGAGGCTAGCATGAAGCTACAAGGGTGTTTTGATGCCACTGACTGGTCTGTGTTTCAATCAGAGGATGTTAATGAATTCTGTGACGCTGTGACTGGATACATACGCTTCTGTATTGACTGCTGTGTCCCACAGAAGGTCATTAACGTACATCTCAGTCAAAACCCTTGGATGAACGCGGAAGTGAAACAAAAACTTCATGAGCGTGCTCTGGCGTTTCAATCTAACGATACAGTTGCCTATAAGCTATCCTGTTATGCATTGAAACGTTCTATTAAATCTGCAAAGCGCAGTTACGGGGACAGGTTAAAGGGTTATTTTAAGGAAGATGACCCTCGGCGCATGTGGAGCGGTATTAAAGCCATCACGTCCTGGAAACCTAGTGCTGGGAAAATCGGATCTGTTGGCCCAGCTCTGCCTAATGAGCTGAACACGTTCTACTGCCGCTTCGAATCTGCCGATGCCTGTCCTACTGTCTTTCCTGATTGCCTCAATCAAGGTGCGTTCACCGTGACTCAGGAGGCAGTCCAGCGGGTCTTGTCCAGCACCATTGTCCGGAAAGCCCCTGGCCCGGACGGCATCCCTCCTCGCGTCCTGAAACTGTGCTCTGAGCAACTTGCCCCTGTTTTAACAGACATTTTTAACCTGTCGCTAAGGAACTGTACTGTGCCGAACTGCTTCAAAGAGTCGACCATTATCCCAGTTCCTAAGAAAACTCCTGTGACATGCCTTAATGACTATCGCCCTGTGGCCCTCACTTCTGTCCTAATGAAGACTTTTGAGCGGCTTGTGCTGGACTTCATTAAGAGCCAGATCCCTGTGAGTGTTGACCCGATCCAGTTTGCTTACAGACAGAACAGGAGTGTGGAGGATGCCATCTCCTTTGCTCTGAACTCTGTCTACAGTCACTTGGACAATAGGAAATCTGTTGCAAGAATGCTGTTCATTGATTATAGCTCTGCTTTTAACTGCCTTGTCCCAGGTATACTGATTGAAAAGCTCATGTCTCTCGGCTTAAGTGTTGCCATGTGTAAATGGATCTATAGCTTTTTAACAGACAGATCTCAGAGAGTGAAAATCAATGACTGTTTTTCAGATGTTGTTTCTGTGAGCACTGGATCTCCTCAGGGATGTATTTTGAGTCCTTTACTTTTTACACTGTACACTCACGATTGTGTGTCTTCCTCAGACTCTAACCTGATCATCAAATATGCTGATGACACCACCATCATCGGTCTCATCAGTAATAACGATGAATCGTCTTATAGAGCCGAGATCCAAAACGTGGTTCAGTGGAGTAAGGCTAACAACCTCCAGCTGAACGCATCCAAAACATGTGAACTGGTCTTTGATTTTAGCCGCAATAGTTCTCATTTGTCTGCCGCAATCGATAACTCCCAGGTGCAGATTGTAGAGGAGTGTAAGTTTCTGGGTCTAACTCTGTCTAATGACCTGAAATGGGTTAAAAACACTGACCGGGTCGTAAAGAAAGCTCGTCAGCGTCTCTACTTCCTGCGGAAACTTAGAGAATTTACCACTAACTCTAAGATTGTGCTGAACTTTTATGGCTGCACCATTGAGAGTTTACTTGTTGGTTCTGTGTCTGTGTGGTTTGGAAACATCACAGATAAAGAAAAGAGAGCTTTAAACAAGGTGCTCCGCTCTGCAAAGAGGACTGTAGGCTGTGAACTTCCTGTCCTGGAGGCTCTTTATCAATCCAGACTTTTTAACAGTGCCCTGAGAATTATCAATGACTCTTCTGGCCACCCAGGAAAAGCCTTGTTCCAGCTTCTTCCCTCTGGCAGAAGATACTGTTCTCTGAGATGCAGGACATCTCGTTATGCTAATAGTTTTTTTCCACGAGCTGTTAACAGTTTGAATATAGCACTTTAATGTTTTTGCACTTGTATAGATCTGTTTTAAGTTGGTCAACTTCACGGTGACATTTGTTTACTGTTTTTAAAATTTGTTTTATTTTTGTCTTTTAATGTTGTTTTGTGTCTGTACTTGTCCTGTGCACACTGGGAACTTTTACAAATGTATTCCAATTTAGTTACTGCAAATGGCGAAATAAATGAATCTGAATCTGAATCTAATCTGAACTATACATTTATTATTATTATTATTGAATCTTCTTCAGTCACTTCTTGTTTTTGCATCTCAGAGATTTTCAGGTGAAATGTCTTTTTCCGTTGGTTTTCTCGTCTCATGGACCTTTTACTTTTGGTGAATGAATCTTTTATAGTATTTGAATTATTTCTACTAAAAATGGTACTTTTCCTTCTTCTATAATCGGCTGTTTTCAAATCTTTTGTATTATATTTGTTTATTGTATGTTTGGTGTAACAGGGCTGTAATAGACCCTGTATGTAGACCCTAACTCAGACCAGTCCCGGACCCTAACTCAGACCAGTCCCAGCCTCTAACTCAGACCAGTCTCGGACCCTAACTCAGACCAGTTCTTGACCATACCTCAGACCAGTCCTGTACCCTAACTAAGACCAGTCCCAGCCTGTATCTCAGACCAGTCCTAGACCATACCTCAAACCAGTTCCGGACCCTTACTCAGATCAGTCCCAGACCCTAACTCAGACCAGTCCCGGACCCTAACTCAGACCAGTCCCGGACCCTAACTCAGACCAGTCCCAGCCTGTAACTCAGACCAGTCCTAGACCATACCTCAAAACAGTCCCGGACCCTAACTCAGACCAGTCCTTGACCCTAACTCAGACCAGTCCAAGCCTCCAACTCAGACCAGTCCTAGACCATACCTCAAAACAGTCCCGGACCCTAACTCAGACCAGTCCTTGACCATACCTCAAACCAGTCCCTGACCCTTACTCAGACCAGTCCCAGCCTCTAACTCAGACCAGTCCTAGACCATACCTCAAACCAGTCCCTGACCCTAACTCAGACGAGTCCTAGACCATACCTCAGACCAGTCCCGGACCCTAACTCAGACCAGTCCTAGACCATACCTCAGACCAGTCCCGGACCCTAACTCAGAGCAACACACGTCTGAACTCTGGAGGCATTGGAGAAACTGTCAGAATTGTGTAATAATTGTATGTTTATGTGTTTTTATGTTAAATGGACTCTTCATGTGTCTGAATTAAAGATTAAATAAAATAAATAAATAATCAACAAGGTCATGACTCCCCATCCTTCCACACCACCTCCCACCGTCGCAGCATCCACTCCCCACTTTTCACATATGAAGCTGAATGCGCAGGTTCAGACTGAAAGACCGAGTGCCTGCCCGCCTCGAGCCTCAGCCAAGGAGGTAGCTGCGTTGATCTCTCCTCCTGCATAAGTCTAACATACAAGTAGTCCATCTATTTTTCTCATACTGGATTAGCTGACTTCAATCTGTGGTAATAATTAATTCATTTGACTGCATTGGGTGGCTCACTGGACATTATATGTATGTCGCGTGTGACCAGAGGAAATCCACCACGGGAGACCAAGGCTGAAACTATGGCATCTGTAGAAAACTTGAGTCTGCTTATTGAAACGGCACTTGAGAAACATTTTGCGAAGGCCGAGGCTAAATCAGGAGAAGCATTTGCTCGTTTGGAGCAACGCCTGGACTCACTTAATGTTGATTTTTCATTGCTCAAAGAAGAAACGAAGGCGCTCAGGGAAGCTAACGCAAACCTGTTGGCGCGCACGACAAGAATGGAGCAGACGTCTACAGCCTTGTCCAAAACTGTGACAACAATGGAGACAAAGTTGGCTGAACTAGAGGATCGGAGCAGACGAAATAACATCGTTGTGCATGGGCTCTGTGAGCGAAAAGAGAACTCTAATGCTTTACAGTATATCACTGCCCAGCTCCCACTGTGGTTCCCCACGCTGAAAGATACGCCACCTGAGATCATGAGAGTGCACCGTATTGGAGTTTCCCGGAGCAAGGCGACAAAACCGAGGGTCAGGATTTTCATGTGCCTAAGATACACCGACAGAGCAAGGATTTTGAAAGCTGCGAGGGACTCACCGTTGGTTATGGAAGGAAAGGATGTCCGCTTCACGGCTGACTACAGCATTGTAACCCGGGCCCGTCGCAAATCCTGCTATCCTGTCATGGAAAAGGCTCGGCTAGAGGGTTACCAGGCCTTCTTGCTTTATCCGGCCACTATAAAAGTGTCCAAAGGCCATGAGCACACGCTATTTCAGGATCCTGTGATGTTGGAAGAGTTCCTCGACAGTCGGGAGAATGAAGAATCTTTTGGAAACATGACGCGGGCTCAAGTTGCTCAGATTGATGATGAGAACAATGTAACATAAGCAGTCACATTGTCAGCTACCCTATCGTTCCCATTTACATTCATCATGTCCCAATAACTGATAATAATCCTCAGAAGTAAGACGCTGGTGATAATAAAAGAGCGAATGTTTTGGTTCAACACTGCCGGTCACGTGACGAAGCTGGGAACGCTGCTGATTGGGTGAGTGTGTCACGTGACTGCATGAACAGAACACTACTGGAGGACAGAGGACAGTGAATGATGAATGTTTGTATTATGAAATTATATAGAGGGAACATATGGATTTCTGTTATAATGATGGACTAAGGAATATTTCTGTTTCAGCAGGACTATAAGGAGAACGTTATTGCACTAGTTTCACAATGATTACAGACTCTGGGGGTGTGAACGGGAAGTGCGAGTGTGTGTGTATGAGTTTTCAATATTTTGTGTCTTTTGATTTAGGACCTAGTCATTATGAATGTATAGATAGAGATTACAGCACTATAGTGGTTCAAATAATAAATTTGATTATCAACGATAATTGAGTATGGTGACTTTTACAAAATTACCCAAGAAGGGACTGAAATTGGCACATATAAACATCCATAGTCTGAGAAATAAAGTAATTGATATTTCAAATATTCTATCAGAAGGTACATATACTAGGACTTACTGAGACTCATCTGGATTCTACATTTGAAGACTCCTCATTAAATATACAAGGATACAGCATATATAGGAAAGACAGAAATGCAAGGGGTGGCGGAGTGGCTATCTATATACAGGAGCAAATACCAGTAAAAATAAGAATTGATCTAACGCTACCCAATATTGAAGCATTATGGCTCCAAGTTCATATTCCATATTTAAAGCCATTACTGGTTTGTTGTTGTTACCGTCCACCCAATGCAAATTCTGCTTACTTGGAGGATCTATGTACCATGATAGACAATGTATGTGACTGTCAAAATGAAGTCTATATTGTGGGAGACTTCAATATAGACTGGAATTCACTGCAATGTTCTTTGAGGGACAAACTCCAATCCATTACTGAGGCATGTGGTCTAACACAGCTTGTGACCCAACCAACTCGGATATGCTGTAGAACCGATGGAACAAAAACATCTACCTTGATTGAGCATATCTTCACTAACGCTGGTGACCTCTGCACCACAGCTATATCCATCCCAGTAGGCTGTAGTGATCATAACTTAATAGCAATGGTGAGGAAAACCAGAGTTCCAAAAGGAGGACCTAAAATAATTGTGAAAAGATCATACAAACACTTTACTGAAGGTAGTTTTATTGAGGATGTCCGTAACATTTGTTGGGATGATGTATTGATGACTAATAATCTAGCTCATGCAGTAGAAGTCTTTAATAAGATTTTTTCACAAGTGAGTGATAAACATGCTCCTCTAAAAAAGAGAACAGTAAAAAAAGTAAGAGTGGGTTGGATTGATGCTGAACTTAAAGACTGCATGGTACAAAGAGATGAGGCTAAAAAAATGGCAATTCTCTCTAATTATGAATCAGATTGGCAGGTATACCGAAAACTGAGAAATTATGCAACTAAATTAAACAAAAAGAAAAGGAAATTGTATTATAAAAATCTGATCATAAATGAGAAACATGATAGCAAAAAATTATGGAGTATTCTAAATAATGTTATGGGAAGAAATTCTAAAACGACTCCATCATTTCTTGAATTAGGGGGTTCTTTTATTACAAAGCCACTGGACATAGCCAATCACTTAAACAATTATTTCTGTAATAAAATTGATCAACTGAGAAGTGAGATGGGACAAACTGATAACTCAAAAGCAGAATATTTAATAAGGAACAATATTATGGCAGGAAAGAACTGCAAGTTTGAGTTTATTAATGTTACTGTTGGCCAAGTAGAAAAATTACTATTAGAATGTAAAGAAAAACCGTCTGGTGTTGATAATATTGTTGAATATTGAATATTCTAAATTATTGAAACTGTCTGCAAAGTTAGTTGCTGTTCCTATTGCTCATATTCTAAATTTAAGTCTTAAGGAGGGGGTCTATCCACAGGCTTGGAAAATAGCAAAAATTGTGCCTTTACCAAAAAATGCTACTGTTCCTTTTTGTGGCCCTAACAGTAGGCCAATCAGTCTGTTACCTGCTCTGAGCAAAATTATGGAAAGAATTGTATTTGAACAAATACAAAAAAATGTTTTTATAACAATTTGAATATAGTGTGATTGGCCTCAGCCAATCACACAGCCAGGCCAGCCTCCTGCCAACCCTCTCACAGCAAAGCGGGCAGTTTAAAAGGCAGCCACTTCCTGACAAGCAACGCTTCCTGAAGCTCTTAAACACCCACCACCTCCCCAGCACCCCCTCTGGCTCTTAGCTCCCGCTCTGGCTCCCACTCCGGCTCCTGCTCCGCCTACGCCCCATTTACACCATACTCTAGCCACCACCAGTGATTGACCCCGGGGGGTCTGAGATCATCTTCAGCTGCAATCGATCTCATTGCTGCAAGTGTCACTGCCGGGGTCAATGCGCCAAAGAAATAAATAATTGTATTGTATTAATTGTGTCTTTGGTCTCTTCAGATTGAAGCATGGATTGTTGACAGAAAAGTGGAAAATAGAGAACCAGCCTCACTCAGCCAATCAGCTTTGTACCAAAGTGTCAGCATGTTGTGCTCTGATTGGTTCATATTTTACTTTTACAAACCGGTTCTTTTGGACAAACTACTGAGTTGTGAGAATGTTCCAAGTATGAGGCAAAGAGCCAAAGAAATGTGAGCGAACACTGACACCTGGTGGACAGATGGAGTCGAAACAGACTTTTCATTCCAAATTCACAAACTAAGACTTTGATCTTTCTGAAATAACAAGTGATTGTAGTAGTAAGAAAATGTAAATGTATTATCCCGGGCCTGGACCAGGAACAGGACCAGGAACAGGGACAGGGCCAGGGCTAGGGCCTAAGGTAGGGCCAGGACTAGGACCAGGGACAGGGCCTAAGATAGGGCCAGGACTAGGACCAGGACCAGGGCCAAAGATAGGACCAGGACCAGGACCAGATAGATAGACAGATAAATACATAAATACTTCATTGATCCCATAAGAATTTGTACATTAGTCCCTTGCTCACATTGCAGTTTGCAGTTAGCGTGGATGGGAAGCAAATTCCACAGTGAAGGAGTTTGGAGCAAAATACAGGAGGTGGCAGCTCAGAGAGGACCACGAGGAGCAGTGAGGGGCTGGTGCTCTCAGGTCTGGTGATGAATGAATTATAGAAGTTGGAGCGTTCGTCATTTTGACAACAGTGAAGTGTAGGAGTCCATCGTCTACGGTCTCTTTGCGATCACGAGTATTGTAGACCCAAGTCTCAATGTTTGTGCGTTAGCAGCTCCACAGGACGCAGCGGCGGCCATCTTAGATCTGACTGTAGTTTGATAGTTAAATATAAGCTTCACAAACAAATGCATTTGTAAAACAGCTTTGAGCCTTCACCACAACAGATAAAACTGAGGAGACACCAGAGAGACCAGAGAGAACAGAGACCAGAGACTAGAGAGACCAGAGAGACCAGAGAGACCAGAGAGACCAGAGAGAACAGAGACCAGAGAGACCAGAGAGACCAGGGAGACCAGAGAGACCAGAGAGACCAGAGAGACCAGAGAGACCAGAGAGACCAGAGAGACCAGAGTCCAGAGAGACCAGAGACCAGAGAGACAGAGACCAGAGAGAACAGAGACCAGAGAGACCAGAGAGACCAGAGAGACCAGAGAGACAGAGACCAGAGAGACCAGAAAGACGAGAGAGACCAGAGAGACCAGAGAGAACAGAGACCAGAGAGACAGAGACCAGAGAGACAGAGACCAGAGAGACCAGAGAGACGAGAGAGACCAGAGAGACCAGAGAGACCAGAGAGATCAGAGAGACCAGAGATACCAATGTTCTCCCCGTGTCTGTGTAGGTTTCCTCCGGGTACTCCGGTTTCCCCTACCACTAAAAATATGTCCAATAGTTCTAGCATGCGCCTCCTGTACAGGCCCCGCTCCCATCTCTGTGTGGAGTGAGAGACAAATGCCCAAAAATTAACAATTGTAAACCGCTTTGAGACTCAGATCTGCAGTGAAAAGGCGGTATATAAATAAAGATTAATTACTAAAAAAAAAATGCACCTGCATAAGTGTAGACACCCTTTAATGAAGCTGAATGCGCAGGTTCAGACTGAAAGACCGAATGCCTGCCAGCCTCGAGCCTCAGCCAATCACACAGCTCTGCCAGCCTCGAGCCTCAGCCAATCACACAGCTCTGCCAGCCTCGAGCCTCAGCCAATCACACAGCTCTGCCAGCCTCGAGCCTCAGCCAATCACACAGCTCTGCCAGCCTCGAGCCTCAGCCAATCACACAGCCAGGCCAGCCTCCTGCCAACCCTCTCAGAGCAAAGCGGGCAGTTTAAAAGGCAGCCACTTCCTGACAAACAACGCTTCCTGAGGCTCTTAAACAACCATGGGCATGGTTCTCTGACCGCCGCTGCTGCCGGTCCCTGCTGCTCCTACTAATGCCTGTTCCCTGATGCCTGCTCCCCGTTCCTGCTGCTACTACTGATGCCTGCTCCCCGTTCCTGCTGCTACTACTGATGCCTGCTCCCCGATCCTGCTGCTACTACTGTTGCCTGCTCCCCTACTACTGATGCCTGCTCCCCGTTCCTGCTGCTACTACTGCTGCTACTACTGATGCCTGCTCCCCGTTCCTGCTGCTACTACTGATGCCTGCTCCCCGTTCCTGCTGCTACTACTGATGCCTGCTCCCCGTTCCTGCTGCTACTACTGATGCCTGTTCCCGCTGCTGCTGCTCAGATTCAGATTCAGATTCATTTATTTGCCATTTGCAGTAAAACCACATTGGAAAAACTGTGCAAGACTACCCCGGTGTGCACCAGACAGAGAAGACGACACACACCAGAGCTCTTGCCACTCTTGCTGCCTGTTCCTGCTGCTCCTACTGATGCCTGCTCCCCGTTCCTGCCGCTCCTACTGATGCCTGTTCCCGCTGCTGCCTGTTCCTGCTACCGCTCCTGCTGCTGCCGCTCCTGCTGCTGCCGCTCCTGCTGCTCCTACCGCTGCCTGTCCCTGCTGCCTGCTCCTGCTGCTCCTACTGATCCTACTGATGCCTGTTCCGCTGCCGCTCCTGCTGCTGCCTGTTCCTGCTGCCTGCTCCTGCTGCTCCTACTGATGCCTGTTCCCGCTGCTGCCTGTTCCGCTGCCGCTCCTGCCTGTTCCGCTGCCGCTCCTGCTGCTGTCTGTTCCTGCTGCCGCTCCTGCTGCAGCCTGTTCCTGCTGCCTGCTCCTGCTGCTCCTACTGATGCCTGTTCCCGCTGCTGCCTGTTCCGCTGCCGCTCCTGCTGCTGCCTGCTCCTGCTGCCGCTCCTGCTGCTGCCTGCTCCTGCTGCCGCTCCTGCTGCTGCCTGCTCCTGCTGCCGCTCCTGCTGCTGCCTGTTCCTGCTGCCGCTCCTGCTGCTGCCTGTTCCTGCTGCCGCTCCTGCTGCTGCCTGTTCCTGCTGCCGCTCCTGCTGCTGCCTGTTCCTGCTGCCTGCTCCTGCTGCTCCTACTACTACACGTGCCGCTGCTGCTGTTCCTGCCGCTGCCGCTCCGCGGGCTCCCAGGCTGCACCTGTCTCTACGGCTCGGCTCTTTCAGACACGTATGTAACCTGGCTCACGGAGACAAGCGGCGCACGCTGGCGTGACATGGTCTGTTTGCCCGTATGAATCGCATTGTGGTTGCGTTGTACGTGCTTGTCCCGTGCCATCGTTTGTTTGGGGTCTGTTCCTGCTTTGACCCGCACTGATCTGCTCGTCAGTGCTTATTGGCGCCGCTCCTTAAACACGTCCAGGCTCCGTGTCACTGCTGCTCAAGTCTCCTCCGTGAGACAGTTCAAACTCCAGCGTGCTTGGTGGCATGCAAAATTACATTTTGGAGTCTTCCCTAATCAGTCTCCTTCTAAGGCCCGAATTGTTCGTATTAAGGCTTAATGTATCGGTCTCCGAGGCTTAACGACATATTGCACGTTCAGGGTGAATAGGAATCTGCAGCTTTGGCGCCTCTCTGATTTGGTTGCTCCCTAGACAAAGGCCTAATGTAATATTGCCCGCTCAGGGTGAAGAGGAATCTGCAGTTTTGACGCCTGTCTGATTTGGACGCTCCCATAAGGTGAAGAAAGTGCGTTTAGCTTCATGGCCCTGTCACGCGCATAATGGCGTATGTGAATGCATGTTGTATAGCAAAGCATGGCAAGTTTATTTGTATAGCACAATTCATACACAAGGCAATTCAAAGTGCTGAACAAAATAAGAAAGCATTAAAATCATAGATATTCACAGAACATTAAAAAGAAGGATAGAAATATATGTTTTGACCTTGTCTTAAACATTGTCAGAGAGGAGGCCTGTCTCGCATCTTCAGGAAGATTGTTCCAGATTTTAGCAGTGTGAATCTGAAAGGCAGCCTACCCACGTTAGTTCTGACTCTGGACACTAACAGGAGTCCAGTCCCTGTGCTCCTCAGAGTCCGGGCTGGTTCATATGGGACTAACATGTCACTACTATATGTTGGTGCGAGGCCATGGAGGGACTCGACTTGTATATGTGCATGCACATGTAGGTACGTAGTATACGTGCGTGCATATATATTATGTATATGTATATGCGTATGTGTTTTATAGTCTTAAGCTCGCTTCGCTCAGTTCTCATCAGGGCTGTCTCTGCTCTCGTCAAACTTTCCGTAGTTTAATCGTAATTATGATTAGATGCTTTGCAATGAATGATGTGAGTTACCTTCGCTGGTCGTCGGGCTATTCCGTTAAAAGACAACCTGTTCCAACTGAGGCCAAGGGAATCTGGGTTCGTAAATACTTATTCGGTGTCGTCCATTCTACTTCAGCGCAGCCAATATAGACGTGTCGTAACCCGTTTTGAGATGTTGTTGTTCTCGGTCGGGCTCGAATCTCCGCTAATCTGTAGCTAGCGAGACGACAGGAGGTCGTCATTCAGCCAACTTCAGCTATTTAATAGTTCGTCCTAAAGTTCGGACCAGTCCAATGCGGTTTCGCCTACGTGTCGGCCCCGGGACTAGTCTGGCGGACTGAAGCGGCCCTCGTACTGAAATCCTCGAGCCCCCTCCGCGTACAGTAAATATTGCTCATAGGGACGCGTTGCCCCAGGTCATTAGCAGTGTGTTTCATTTTATCCTGAGCAGGCTGGTGTCGATTATCAAAAGTAGTTTTATGCTTTGTTCCACCTCCGTGCGGAGTTTTGCACGTTCTCCCCTCGTCCGGCCGGTTTGCTCCGGATCCTCCACGTGCTCTGGCCTTCCCTCACTGCTACCGCGTGCAATTGATCCGCCCTGCGCCTCATACGGGCGATCTCTCTCCGATTCTCCGCGTGGAGTCGGGGGGCAGCATCCACAACGGTCACATGCTCTCTGGCGCACTCTCATGGCTCTGAGTCATCGTAACGGTTGCTCGCTCTACTGCTCGTTCTCAGGTGCCGCTCTGTTCGTACTTATTCTGCTCCGTGGCCGCTCTTTGCCGTCGTTCTGAGTTTCCTAATTGCATCAAGATAGCTCTCTCCTGTCCAGAAGGAGATTCGGTCGGTTCTTGTTTAATCTCTCCCTTATGTTGCAGGGCGCTCTTGCTGCACGGCCGCGCCTTGCAAATTATTCTCGTAGCAATAGGCCCTGTCATTCCCGCGCGGGGCATGCCCTTCCTACGCGGGGCTCGTCCATCTCAAGCCGGGCAGCCGTCTGGCCGTCACACTGGCCACCCGGCACACGTGATGACCCTCATCGAAGGTTTCGTAAATGCTCCCTCAGCTTGGACATGGAGAGAGAGAGGATAGGAGGAGGAGGACCAAGGTCTCTTGGTCCGTCCTGTCCTCTGTCACGTCCCAAACAGGTGCTGCTCTTCCGGCTGGGCCGCCTCATCCTCGCAGTGCACGTCATTCCTCAGGCCGTGGTTCATCCCCAGGCTCCTGCGCGCTCTGCAACCCTGTTTTCCTGTTCGCAGGTGCTGCGCTGACCTCAGCTTCAGCTGCTGCCTGCCGGAACGGCGTCTTTCATGATGGCACCGCCTCTTCCACTTACTTATTTCTTTTTCACGGACGCGGCTCAGTCCGTGGGTTTTTGGGGGTCATATCAAGGCCAGTGGTTAGCTGCACCCTGGCCCCAAGGACTTATTACCCCTATAATCCCTGCATTCAACACTCCAAAAGGAAGGTGCCGTCACACTTTCATTATGCATTATTTTCCCCTGTCCAGATAAACACCTGATGAAATGCACTCCTCCATGCACGGAGAGGAGATTCAGATGGGCTGCTATTTCTCTCTCTGTTAAATGACGTCATGTTTGCGCAATGCATCCAAGCCCATTTAATAAATCCGGCCGGTCTCCTGTGATCTCCCGATTCTCCAAGACCGGCCGCTGGATTAGAATAGCCGCCGCACTCCAGCCTGCTGGGCCTTCCTCACTCTTCCCTACAGCAAATGGGTCAATGGTCCACGGCTTGGTCCTGCCTCATCCTCTATCAGACTAAACACTGACACTATTCTGACTGCTCAGCGCTCCCTCTTCAATCTGAGGTAATTATCAAATACTCTGGTGGTGGCTAAGGCTCTTCTCTCACATAAGCATTCTCAACATCTGTTGCACTTCAATCCGGACATGCATATGATCACCTTGTCTTACATCATACATTCATGCTCACCGTAGCGCTCTGTGCAGAGAAGCTTCTCTGCATAACCCCCTACGGCTCACGCTATACACGCACCTCACGAAGCGGCCTGTGCGCGAGAGGCAGCTCCGCACGCCCCAAGGGCCCACGCTTCTACACGCATAGTCATTACAGAGCGTGCGGACTCGTCACCCCCGCATATTCTCTGTATCATACGCTGACACACGCATGCTCAAATATAGCAGATCTTGTATGAGAAAGCTCTCTACATTGCTGCTCCACATTCTCAACACGCAGAGCCCGCATCAGCTCTGCGATTACACGCATTTACTCTTCACTTCATGCATCCATCACGCACGCATGATCACATAGCCGCTCATTCAGTGAGTGTCTGTTCCCACAGATCCCCTGCGGCCTACGTCATACATGCACCCTCACGAAGCGGTCTGTGCGCGAGAAACCCTCCGCACGCTCCAAGGGCCAACGCTTCATACACGCATAATCATTACAGAGCGTGCGGATTTGTCACCCCCGCATATTCTCTGTATCCTATTCATGCAATTCTGCTTCCAGGCAATGCTGCCTCCATGCAATGCTGACTCCAGGCTATGCTGCCTCCATGCAATTCTGCCTCCATGCAATGCTGCCTCTATGCAATGCTGCCTCCATGCAATGCTGCCTCTATGCAATCTATGCAATGCTGCCTCTATGCAATCTATGCAATGCTGCCTCTATGCAATCTATGCAATGCTGCCTCCATGCAATCTATGCAATGCTGCCTCCATGCAATCTATGCAATGCTGCCTCCATGCAATGCAGCCTCCATGCAATGCTGCCTCCAGGCTATGCTGCCTCCAGGCTATGCTGCCTCCATGCAATTCTGCCTCTATGCAATGCTGCCTCTATGCAATCTATGCAATGCTGCCTCCATGCAATGCTGCCTCTATGCAATGCTGCCTCTATGCAATGCTGCCTCCATGCAATCTATGCAATGCTGCCTCCATGCAATTCTGCCTCCATGCAATTCTGCCTCCATGCAATGCTGCCTCTATGCAATGCTGCCTCCATGCAATGCTGCCTCTATGCAATCTATGCAATGCTGCCTCTATGCAATCTATGCAATGCTGCCTCTATGCAATCTATGCAATGCTGCCTCCATGCAATCTATGCAATGCTGCCTCCATGCAATGCAGCCTCCATGCAATGCTGTCTCCAGGCTATGCTGCCTCCAGGCTATGCTGCCTCCATGCAATGCTGCCTCCAGGCTATGCTGCCTCCATGCAATGCTGCCTCCAGGCTATGCTGCCTCCAGGCTATGCTGCCTCCATGCAATGCTGCCTCTATGCAATCTATGCAATGCTGCCTCCATGCAATGCTGCCTCTATGCAATGCTGCCTCTATGCAATGCTGCCTCTATGCAATCTATGCAATGCTGCCTCCATGCAATGCTGCCTCCATGCAATGCTGCCTCTATGCAATCTATGCAATGCTGCCTCCATGCAATGCTGCCTCTATGCAATGCTGCCTCTATGCAATGCTGCCTCTATGCAATCTATGCAATGCTGCCTCTATGCAATCTATGCAATGCTGCCTCTATGCAATGCTGCCTCTATGCAATCTATGCAATGCTGCCTCCATGCAATGCTGCCTCTATGCAATGCCGCCTCCATGCAATGCTCCCACGCCTCCAGATAGGCAGCTTCCCACGGGAGGCCTGCGCATTCCCCGGCACACACAGCGCGGCTTCCTCTTTTGGGGGATCTGAGATCATCTTCAGCTGCAATCGATCTCATTGCTGCAAGTGTCACTGCCGGGGTCAACGCGCCAAACAAATAAATAATTTTATTGTATTAATCGTGTCTTGGTCTCTTCAGATTGAAATGAAGCTGAATGCGCAGGTTCAGACTGAAAGACCGAATGCCTGCCAGCCTCGAGCCTCAGCCAATCACACAGCTCTGCCAGTCTCGAGCCTCAGCCAATCACACAGCTCTGCCAGCCTCGAGCCTCAGCCAATCACACAGCCAGGCCAGCCTCCTGCCAACCCTCTCAGAGCAAAGCGGGCAGTTTAAAAGGCAGCCACTTCCTGACAAACAACGCTTCCTGAGGCTCTTAAACACCCACCACCTCCCCAGCACCCCCTCTGGCTTCTGGCTCCCGCTCTGGCTCCCGCTCTGGCTCCCGCTCTGGCTCCCGCTCTAGGCTCCCACTCCGGCTCCTGCTCCGCCTACGCCCCATTCACACCATACTCTAGCCACCACCAGTGCTTGACCCCGGGGGATCTGAGATCATCTTCAGCTGCAATCGATCTCATTGCTGCAAGTGTCACTGCCGGGGTCAACGCGCCAAACAAATAAATAATTTTATTGTATTAATTGTGTCTTGGTCTCTTCAGATTGAAAAACCTTTAGCACTAATCATTGGAACTCATGCCGACCCTTGACCTCGGCACACGAGGAAGTGTTTCCTCTTTGCATCTGAAGAGTCTCAACTTGATTTACAAACGAATTTACATTTCATTCAAAACAGCTCCGACACTTTAGACAGAGTTGGCCCGAGCTTTGGGCTGTGGTTGTCAGCCTCAGAGGACTTTACAAAGTTGTTGATTCACCAAAAACAGATCAGAGAATCAAACACTTTAAACACAGGAAATGTAATAATAACACACTGAAAAAGGACTGAACATTTGGAAGAATGCTGTATCTTTTTGAGCACTTTATGTAGACCCAGGACTGAGGCTGTAGATCCAGGACTGAGGCTGTAGACCCAGGACTGAGGCTGTAGACCCAGGACTGAGGCTGTAGATCCAGGACTGAGGCTGTAGACCCAGGACTGAGGCTGTGTCAGTGCACCTCTATAAACTAGAGAGATAAGGCCAAAAACCCAGATCTCTTCATGCACGCTATGTTTACCAGCATCTGCAGGAGGATCAGAGAGGACCGGGAGGATCAGAGAGGACCGGGAGGATCAGAGAGGACCAGGAGGATCAGAGAGGACCAGGAGGATCAGAGAGGACCAGGAGGATCAGAGAGGACCAGGAAGATCAGACAGGACGCAGCGGCGGCCATCTTAGATCCAATCGCAGTTTGATAGTTAAATACAGGCTTCACAAACAGATTAGTTGTTTGATTCCAGAACAATCTTCTCACGGTTTACAATGATCCTTTTGAAGCATCAGCGAAACACAGAAACATCATATTCCTACAGTCTTCATCCCTAACAGCCCTTTCACAGCAAACATGCACAAGTCTGAACCGTGTCTGGGTTTAACGCCAAAACTCTTCAACGCCTGCATTTCCATTTCATTCAAAACAGCTCCAACACTTTAGACAGACGCTGCCATCTTTGTTCCAGTCCTAGTTTGATATTTAAATATTGGCTTTACCAACACGCAGCTTAGAGCCTTCACCACGACAGACCGGGAGCCGTCACCTACACAAGAACCTGACTCGAGCTCAGAGAGAACAGTGACCACAGTCGAGGAAACATCTCTTTCTCACATGTTTCAGAAAGAGCTGTTGATGATGTACTTTGGACTTGTCTCATTCTACCTGCTCTATGGTAAGAATCTGGTTCTATTATAACATTTATCAATATCATTTGTTTCAGGATGCCAAGGTTAAAGATATAAAGGAGGATATTCTACTTCTGGGTAGATCATCAATACTATTGGTCCTTCTAATTGTCAATTATTCTGGTGATATGTTCTTGTCAAAAAGCCGGAGAATTTTTTCCAAAAAGGAGAGGGTGGTTCTTTCCTAAGATTTGGGGAAATCCTGCTGTGTACTTTACTTTTAACTCTTAAATAGTGATCAAATCCATTCAAACTGAAGTGGCGGGTTTATCTATGTGTGACATCAGAAGGATTTCACTTTCCAATACTTGTGTTTTCTCATGATACTCGGCACACCACCTGTGGGTTGCTTTTCTTCAGCAGGGACGAGTGTCAGAGTTGATGGGTCTAAACATGCACACAGACTAGGGCTGGGCGATATGGCTGAAAACTATATCATGATATAAGTCATTCATATCGGTCGATAACGATATATATTGAGTTTTTTTTTTTTAACCTAAATAAATATATTTGTGGTGTGGGCTAACCAACCTTAGCAGCCTTGTTTACAGTCACGGGGCGATGAGGCTGGAGGAATATGTTCACACTGTGTCCCTCGTTGTTAGTCAAGGCAAGGCAAGGCAAGTTTATTTATATAGCACAATTCATACACAAGGCAACTCAAAGTGCTGAACAAGATAGCATTAAAATCATAAATAATCACAGAACATTAGAAAGAAAGATAAAAATATAAAATCCCTCAGTTGTATGCACAGCTAAACAGCACCGTTTTTAACCTGGTTTTAAACATTGTCAGAGAGGAGGCCTGTCTCACATCTTCAGGAAGAATGTTCCAGATTTTAGCAGCATGAATCTGAAAAGCAGCCTCCCCATGTTTAGTTCTGACTCTGGGCACTAACAGGAGTCCAGTCCCTGTGCTCCTCAGAGTCCGGGCTGGTTCGTATGGTACTAACATGTCACTAATATATTTTGGTGCGAGGCCATGGAGAGACTTGTACACAAGCAAAGCTGTTTTAAAGTCTATTCTCTGAGCCACAGGAAGCCAGTGCAAAGACCTGAGGACCGGACTAATATGGTCGTACTTCCTGGTTCTAGTCAGGACTCGAGCTGCTGCATTTTGAATGTACTGCAGCTGTTTTACAGCCTGTTTGGACAGACCTGTGAGCAGGCCATTGCAGTAGTCTAACCTACTGGAGACAAATGCATGGATAAGAATCTCCAAGTCTGCTTTAGACACTATGTTTTTGATCCTGGCAATGTTTTTTAGATGGTAAAAAGCTGCTGATGTTACTGATTTGATGTGGCTATTAAAATTTAAGTCTGAGTCCAGTATTACCCCTAGATTTCTGACCTTGTTTGAAGGTTTTAGGGAGAGAGACTGGAGGTGACAGATGACGCTCTCTCTTTGTTTCTGGGGACCAAAGACAATCATTTCAGTTTTGTCCTGGTTTAATCCTGGGTTTTTATTCCTGGTTTAGCTCCTGGTTTAGCTGTTTGAGGGTCTTGTGTCCCCGTGACCGCTCCGTGTGGCTCTCTGTGCCGCACATGCTTCCCGAGGAAAAAGTTAATCTCTTGCTTTCGCCGAATACATGGTGTCTGTCCACTGCCTCTGCCGCCGCACATGTTATTCCGCGCACGTACGTGCACAACCATTGACACGGCATTGAAACACGAGCTATAGATCCATGGACGCTACGCATGCTGCGGTTGTTGTTGTTTTTGCATTTCCCACAAAGTTTTGCGGTTCCTGCTCGGCTGTTATTGGTCGAGAAGCCTCTGCCTACATCTCCCACAATGCCATGCGCTTATGAGTCGGCTTTACTTCCGGTGTTTTCTTCCTGTTTTTCCTGACGGAGTTAAGTTAAACTATCGAACATTCTATCGACCCCATTCTCTATTGATATCGAACACATGTCTATCGCGATATATATCGTTATCTTTTTTTCGCCCAGCCCTAACACAGACAGAGTGTATTCATCCCGGAGTCTGCATCAATTAGATTAAGTGTGATCGCACCAGAGAGATCCATCCTAAACCCACTAACCTCTGTCTTTCCCAATCCAGGCTCCGCCCTTGTGCACTGTGTTATTGTGTACAAATATATAAACTTAGAGAAGACCTGGGATGATGCTCGTGAGTACTGCAGGGAGCACCACAAGGACCTGGCCACGGTGGAAAACACAGAAGAAGTGAAGAAGTTACCGATACCCTCTGGACACACCGCCTGGATCGGACTGTTTGATGACCCCGCCTCCTGGAAGCAGATGACCTCTGAGTCCAACTCCTGGAGATGGTCTTCCACTCGGACCACCAGTCCGGGACAGTACCAGAACTGGTTCTCTAGTGAGCCCCAGAATGCCGGTGGAAATCAACTGTGTGTCTTCATGCAAAATGGTTTCTGGGCGGATGAATACTGTACCTCTACATTTCACTTTGTTTGTTACCGAGGTGAGATTTGTTTGTCTGTATTTGTTTTTGGTTATTTGTATTTGTAACTCTGACACTCACCTTTACTTCATCAGTCCAACCATCAGGTCTTAAAGAGTACTTCCGGATCACTTCCTTAAAGTCCTGGTCCGACTCTCAGTCCTACTGCAGACAGAACTATCAGGACCTGGCCACGATCCAGACCTCTGCAGAAAACCAGGCAGTGAAGGATCTTCTCCCCTCCTCATCATCCATAGTCTGGATTGGTCTGTACCGGGTCTCCTGGAGGTGGTCCGACGGCAGCCCCAGTACCTTTAGATGGTGGTCAACAGGGGAGCCAGGCAATTCAGGAGGATCAGAGCACTGTGGTGTTCAGTATGATAGCTTTTGGCATGATATCTCCTGTTCCTTGAAACGTCCATTTGTCTGCCAAGAAGGTAAGAGAAATGTCTTTGAGAAGTATTTGGTTCACATCCCATTGTCCCTCATAAGTTATACCCATGAATGGGAAGCGATGAGTTTCTGGTCTTTGGTAGTTCTGGTTACGATCTTCTTTTGCAAAAACTGCAGCAGCCCGACTCCTCTACAGTCTCTACAGTCTCTACAGTCTCTCTACAGTCTCTTCAGTCTCTACAGTCTCTCTACAGTCTCTAAAGTCTCTACAGTCTCTCTACAGTCTCCACAGTCTCTACAGTCTCTCTACAGTCTCTACAGTCTCTACTGTCTCTACAGTCCCCTCTACAGTCTCTACAGTCTCTCTACAGTCTCTCTACAGTCTCTCTACAGTCTCTCTACAGTCTCTCTACAGTCTCTACAGTCTCTACAGTCTCCACAGTCTCTACAGTCTCTACAGTCTCTACAGTCTCTACAGTCTCTACAGTCTCTCTACAGTCTCTACAGTCTCTCTACAGTCTCTACAGTCTCTACAGTCTCCTCTACATCTCTCTGGATGTTGTTGAAATGCAGTGGATCCATAACCCCAACAAATACAATAATCATATTTCTCTACAGATATAATAAATATAAATAACAAATATAATATTCTTATTACACGCTCCTCACAGCAGCAGTAGAACGCTCCATTGATTTGAATGTAATTTCAAAACGTTCTACTGGTCATTATTTTCTATAACGGACCTCTCAAAACAATAATGACCGCTGCCCTTTGGCAACGCACTCTCTGCTTGTCTTTTAAATGCGTGGATAACTCTGCAAGTAGTTCCGGCCACTCCGGAGCTAGCCACGCTCAATCAACACACTTAAATGTTAATCAGAGAATACTTATACATTACTGGTCTTGTCTTCATGACAAAAATACTATTTCTCTGCGTCAAAAAGCGATCGTGAAAAATCCGGAAGTAGTTCCGGCCGCTCAATAAACGCAAATGCCAATCAATCAACGCAATGAAATGTTAATTGGAGAGTAATTTATACATATACATTATTAATACAAGTGCACGGAAGCTTTCAGAATTTTCCGTTTACGTTTTCATGACAAAAACACTGATGTAATGCGAGAAAAGGCGATCCCGAAAAACCCGGAAGTAGATACCGGCACATTTTAGGAACATTTGCAGAGGATTGAATTATGGATTTAGGTTAAGTTTATGTTTGGGTCACTCACCGCTGATGTTCAGGATTCTTTGTTCAGTTTTCATGCAGTTCCAGAGAGTTCTAGTTTGGAAGTTGCCAGCCTAACTGTTACTAGCATAAACCTTTGGGCATTCCTAAAAGTGGACTGAAGTTTATATTGTGTGTTCTGTTGGTACAAAGCCGTATAATAAGCAGACCGCAGTCCGCTTCGCCCTGTCGGTACTTATTTTCCGATAATGACCTGCGTAATATACGTTATCCCTTACATATTTGTGAAAATAATAATATTTTAAATGATATAATATCAGGCTTTGCTGACGCTTGGCTCAGGATTCACACTTTTGTGCTTCTTTAACACATACAGATGCGATTTCAAGGACCCAGACTAAGATCACGCTCCAGACGACAGCGAACATGTGCGAGAAGACGATTAGAGACAAGTTTTTACGAGCAGTAAGTTCACAAATGTCTGAGTAACTGTGATGTACAGAAGTCTGGATGTTCATTATCGTCCTCACAGCTGGAAGAACGCTTGGGCCCGGGGTTCTCAGTGAAGTGGCACCGTCTGCCCACAAGGAGATGAGTGATGTCACCGCACACAGGCAAAGGAACGCACTATCGATCTCTGGAGCAACGCTGGGGATTAAGGCTGCCTTCTGGTTCACTGTAACTGGTTCTGGTTCACTGTAACTGGTTCTGGTTCACTTTAGCTGGTTCTGGTTCACTTTAACTGGTTCTGGTTCACTGTAACTGGTTCTGATTCACTTTAACTGGTTCTGGTTCACTTTAACTGGTTCTGGTTCACTTTAGCTGGTTCTGGTTCACTTTAGCTGGTTCTGGTTCACTTTAACTGGTTCTGGTTCACTTTAGCTGGTTCTGGTTCACTTTAGATGGTTCTGGTTCTCTTTAACTGGTTCTGGTTCACTTTAGCTGGTTCTGGTTCACTTTAGCTGGTTCTGGTTCACTTTAACTGGTTCTGGTTCACTTTAGCTGGTTCTGGTTCACTTTAGATGGTTCTGGTTCTCTTTAACTGGTTTTGGTTCACTTTAGATGGTTCTGGTTCACTTTAGCTGGTTCTGGTTCACTTTAACTGGTTCTGGTTCTCTTTAGCTGGTGTTGGTTCACTTTAGCTGGTTCTGGTTCACTTTAGCTGGTTCTACTTCAATTTAACTGGTTCTGGTTCACTTTAGCTGGTTCTGGTTCACTTTAGCTGGTTTTGGTTCACTTTGACTGGTTCTGGTTCACTTTAACTAGTTCTAGTTCACTTTAGCTGGTTCTGGTTCACGTTAGCTGGTTCTGGTTCACTTTAGCTGGTTCTGGTTCACTTTGGGGAAAACGTTAATCTGTGAACTATACATTTATTATTATTATTATTGAATCTTCTTCAGTCACTTCTTGTTTTTGTATCTCAGAGATTTTCAGGTGAAATGTCTTTTTCCGTTTGGTTTTCTCGTCTCATGGACCTTTTACTTTTGGTGAATGAATCTTTTATAGTATTTGAATTATTTCTACTAAAAATGGTACTTTTCTTTCTTCTATAATCGGCTGTTTTCAAATCTTTTGTATTATATTTGTTTATTGTATGTTTGGTGTAACAGGGCTGTAATAACAGTGTAATTAGTGTGTGATAAGTTTGTAGTAAGTGTGTAATGTCTGTGTCTCAGACCCTAACTCAGACCAGTCCTAGACCCTAACTCAGACCTGTCCTAGACCCTAACTCAGACCAGTCCTAGACCAAAACTCAGACCAGTCCTAGACCCTAACTCAGACCAGTCCCAGACCCTAACTCAGACCAGTCCTAGACCCTAACTCAGACAAGTCCTAGACCCTAACTCAGACCAGTCCTAGACCCTAACTCAGACCAGTCCTAGACCCTAACTCAGACCAGTCCCAGACCATACCTCAGACCAGTCCCAGACCCTAACTCAGACCAGTTCCGGACCCTAACTCCCCACTAAGCAAGCCGACGTTGAATCCACGTCATTTCAACGTCGTTGTCCGACGTAGAATATAGGTCACTGGTGGGTGCAGAATGAAAGTTTTCTCGACGTCGTTTCCCGACGTCACCTCAACCTCCAAATGTTACGTTGATGGCACGTCAATTCAAGGTTTGAATGTGGTACGGAACCGGTCGGGTCTGACGTCCTATCAACGTCTTATATGACCAAAATATTGACGTTTATATGACGTTCGTTTTCAGTCGTTCCCACTAAGCAAGCAGATGTCAAAACAACGTAATTTCAACGTCATCTGGACGTTCATTCAAGGTTGCAATGTGGTACAGAACCGGTCAGGTCCGACGTCCTATCAACGTCTTATATGACCAAAATATTGACGTTCATATGACGTTTGTTTTCCGTTGTTCCCACTAAGCAAGCAGATGTCAAAACGATGTCATTTCAACGTCATCTGGACGTTATCTGGACGTTCAAATGATGTCGAGGCCACGTTCATTCAAGGTTGCAATGTGGTACAGAACCGGTCGGGTCCGACGTCCTCTCGACCAAAATATTGACGTTTATATGACGTCCATTTACAGTCCTATTGACCTACTTAACTTCTGCAAAATCACTTACTAGTCGAGACATACTTTTTGCAATAGGCAAGGCAAGTTTATTTGTATAGAACAGTCAAAACAAAAGGAAACTCAAAGCACTGAACAAAAGATAGAAACAATCAAACAAGGCATTAAAATTATAAATATTGACAGTAAATTAAAAAGATACAAATAAAATATCTCAGTTGAAGCAGAAACAGAAGTGTTTTAAACCTGGATTTTAACATTGTCAAAGAAGAAGCCTTTCTCCTATTTCCAGGAAGATCGTTCCAGATTTTAGCTTTGTGAATCTGAAATGCAGCTTTATCATGTTTAGTTCTGACTCTGGGCAATAAACGATAAACACAGCATTCAAAAATCATTAGAACAACTGTAGTAGAAGGATATCAGTCATTATTGCAAATGGAGCTGCATTAAAAATCATGTTTCTCTACATCAAAGTACAAGTTAAACCACACAGGGCACAGTGTTATGAACACTACTGAACCGAACAGTTCATGCCAAAGTAAAAAAACATGATTGTAGCGCCTATGTTTGGATCAGTATTAAAACAGGCACAAGCTACACTCTAGGTTCCCCAGATGTAAAAACACAATCTGAAAGGCAGAAGAATGCATTTATTGAATGTTGAGGTTCCAACATGTGTCCTCTCTTGGTCTTCAGTCTCTCATCACAAGGTCCAAGCACAGCACCTGAAAATGTGGAACATGTTTAGTTTCAACATAATGTGGCAAAGTAATATAACAACACATAACTTTCTATTAATGCCTCAAACCACTCGATCCATCACCATGTGATACAACCCTTGGCACTGCACTAGCTCGAGACACTGGAAGACACTCCGTCTGAGAAACTTGGGATAAGGCTTTGGTCATTGGAGTAATTCCATGTAAAAAACAATTGCAAATGTGCATTTGTTTTGCACATGGACAAATGAGCCCTGAAATCTACTTACCCTGTATTACTCTACACATGTTGCATTTCCGAGGGGGCATTTTCCCCTTGTTGCTCTTTTCCCTCATCTTGAGTGAGTTGCGGAACAATCTGAGAAAAAGATAGATGTTTTCAAAGAGAATACACCAAATAATGGTTTATTCTAAAAACAACATAATAATACAGAAGAACAATCAATGTGTGAGAGTGTGATTCTTACCTTTGAACACCTTCAACACAGTCTGACACCTGTAAGACTCAAACACACATGACACATTAGGAATACACACAGAACATTAGTTATTGCAACAATCATGAACTTATACTCTATGGATTTCACAATAATTGACTGCATTAGCAAAGGTAAATGTATTTTAATTAACATATGGCTGGTTTTAAAGTTTATAAGACAAAGTAAGACATTGAATAGAGTTGCAAGCGCTAGTTAGCTTGCTACCAGCAGATGAATGGATATTAACTATTTGCAGCTAACAATAACAAAAATAACAACTGTAGTGGCTCATTTAAACAGCCACAGTGAGAAGAAGTGAAAGTCTCTGACATTGAAGACCTGGGAAGACATTAAATCCATTTATTAAACAAAGCAATACATGAACATTAAACTCTCTTTCTGCAGCAGGTAACATCTGTGTGCTCCTATGGTCCCACATGGTCCTACATGGTCCCACACCTGAACTCAACTCCAACTGATGACATCACAAGTGTCTAAATGATGGGAGTGTCCCAAATATTAAAGCTGATCTCCCTGTTTTTAAACTTAGTTTACTAAGTACTGTTGTCTTTTTGCAGTTTATAAACCATTGTGAAATATACAGTAACTTTACATTTTAGAATTGAATTATTATTTTAAAACTCAAGAATCTTAACCTTTTTTAACACATAGTTTGTTGGACAGTCTAACCTAAGAATTATAATGTGTTAAAAATAGTTTGAAATATGAAAAACAATATCATATTTTAAACTTTAACTAAAAACACAAAAAAAAGGTGTCTCCCTTTCAGCTGAGCAGTGCCAGCCGTTATTATTATAGATTCATGCACTGGCAATTCAAAATACAGACAATATACAAAATATACTTAACAAATTCCACGTATACGTGAGAAAACAACTTACTTTCTGTCTCCAACTCTTTTCAATGTCGAAATGATACATCTATATCTAAAAACTGTGCAGACTGTGTACTTACTAGAGAGGGTGATTCCAAGTAAATAAAGCAGGGCAGCGACAGAGGTACAGATTCAACGTCATATCAACGTCTGGGAAGACATTGCTTTACGTCCAGATGCACACCTTACGTCGTTTAGACGTGGAAAACAGGTCCTCGACCGGCTCACGTGTCACGCTGTAACCTCGCATAAGTGTGCGTCGGTTGTTTAGGGTGTTATCTATTATTTTTTCACAGTAGTCAGCAAAAGATTGCCTGGCGGTGGTGTAGCGGTTGCGTAATGAGACTTCAGTCGCAACGATGTGCGTTCAATTCCCCGTTGGAACATTTTTGACTTTTCACTTTTTAGCGAACAATTTTTCTCTGTTTGGTTAAAAACGAATAAACCCTCAACATAAGATTATGTAGTGGCTAATAATAAAACTTGTGAACCCATGCATTTGCATACAATCTCAAGTGCTCACCCCTTATTTGCAAACTTGAGATTGTTAGCACAGCAAATGCATACATTCACAAGTTTTATTATTAGCCACTACGTAATCCTATGTTGAGTGTTTATTAGTCTTTAACCAAACAGTAAAAAATCTAAACAAATATGTAAAGATAATGATACACACACATGGGCTCAAACTCACGTAACCAAGGCTGCACACATTTGCTTAACCACTACACTACCGTCAGGTACACTTACAGTGCTTCACAGCCTATATATTCTATTGCTAGATCAAGACGTACTGCGTCGGTCAGCCGATGACCTGTTTTCCATGTCTAGGGGAGGTCGGGATTGGACGTCATATCCACGTATATGGGAGGTCATTGTTTTACGTCCAGATGCGCACCTTGCACAGACGTCGCTTGGACGGAAATAAAAGGTCACAACGGACCGACGCGATATTGACGTGATCTGGAGGTTGAGTGGACGTCGGATGTTTAGTGGGTCAGACCAGTCCCAGACCCTAACTTGGAGAAACTGTCAGAATTGTGTAACAATAATAATAATAGACTTTGATGTGTGCAATCTGAGTGCTCTTATTTCCTTTCTCTGCTGTATTGTGCAACGATGACACTGAAATTTCTCCACTGTGAGACTAATAAAGGTTTATCTTATCTTATCTTATAATTGTATGTTTGTGTGTTTTTTGTCTGTATTTTTGTTGTCTGTTTTTATGTTAAATGGACTCTTCATGTGTCTGAATTAAAGATTAAATAAAATAAATAAATAATCAACAAGGTCATGACTCCCCATCCTTCCACACCACCTCCCACCGTCGCAGCATCCACTCCCCACTTTTCACATGCATGGATTGTTGACAGAAAAGTGGAAAATAGAGAACCAGCCTCACTCAGCCAATCAGCTTTGTACCAAAGTGTCAGCATCAAGTATCATTTGATATGTTTCAGTCCGGCTTTAGACCCCACCACAGCACTGAGACTGCTCTCGTTAAGGTTACAAACGATATCCGGCTGAACACTGACGCAGGCAAAGTCTCAATCTTAATCTTGTTAGATCTAAGTGCTGCCTTTGACACCGTCGACCATGAGATCCTCTTACAGAGACTAGAGGACTGGGTTGGCGTCACTGGCACCGCCCTAAGTTGGTTTAGGTCTTACCTTGAAGACAGGAAGTACTTTGTGGAGATTGGAAACTGTGTCTCAGATCATATGGCCCTGACCTGTGGAGTCCCACAGGGGTCGATCCTGGGACCTCTTCTGTTCAATCTCTACATGCTGCCGTTAGGTCAGTTAATACGCAGAAACAAAGTTTCCTATCATAACTATGCAGACGACACTCAGATCTATGTCTCACTGACTGCAGGAGAACATGGACCAGTGGACTCACTCCTTCACTGTGTGTATTTGCCATAGAACATAGGAAAATTTAGAAAAAAATACATTATTCACATTTGTATGAGTCGCTGAGTCTCAGAGGCAGAGGAAGATGCAACAGATCAGTGAGTGGATGCAAAACAACTTCCTTCAGCTAAACGTCTTTTCAAGGTCATGCTGTGAACAGAGGTCATTATAGAGCTTCGGAAGGTACGTCACTTCCGGGTCCGCGGCGCCATCTTCGAGGGCCACACACTGACGCCGCAAACCAAAACAACTGACAGATCGCTGTAAAACTATGCTGAAGAGCAGCTCTAAGGACAAGGGTCTTTATCGTGACAAATTGCAACCGGACGCATAAAAACGATATCTCCAAAAAATTGAGTGTATTGGAAATGTGGACCCTTACGAAATAAGGCAACGGAGAAGAGAACCCGAAGAGCTACCACCGTTAGCATTCCCAGACATATTTTCCTACCTTGTATGTGGAGTCAGCGCATACACCGCCCAACAATTTCGTAACTACAAATCTATGGAAGCACACATGCAATTTACGAATGGCTGGGTACATGATTTAGAAATTTTCAAGCCCCCACTTTGTGAATACATCGTCATTCAAACTAAGGTAAGTCACGTTAGCTTACTAGTACTAGTACTTTGACAATGGGGTAGAGTGAGTAGTGGTTTTCCGTCACTCATAGTGTCAGGCCACAGCTCTTTCTTCCACATGTTGGATACGTCCCACTTTGCTTCTTGTGGATTTATTTCAACACAGACTTTCTATTTACGACTCGTCTGTAAAGGCCAGATTTTTGAAAAGTATTGATAATATTTTCCTCATGTACAGATTGCCTCAGGTGAGCTGTGAATGTCTGCAGCTCCTCCAGATTGTCTACTGGCCCTGCGCCCTCTGTCGCGTCCCTCCATCTCCGGGGCAAGCCCCTCACTGTTGTTGTGCCTACAGGCCTAACAGCAGTGCAGAGTACCCAGCCTTCTTGGAGTCCTTGGGAAGGATACTGAACCGTTCAGTGACCGGGGACTTATTCTCCTGGGGGACTTCAACGCCCATTTGGGGGACGCCAGTGACACTTGGAGAGCGGTGAAGTGGAAGAATGGCCCTGATCTGCACCAAAGCTGTGTTCAGTTGTTGGACTTCTGAGGGACTTCAGACGGACTTTCAACTAATCAGAATCAGAATCAATTTTTTGCCATGTAAGTAACAGGAAGGAGCTCGGGGTAGAGCCGCTGCTTCAGTCACTCGCTGTGGTTGCACAGCGAGTGACTGAAGCGAGTCCAGGATCCTGTTCAGAGGATCCTGGACTCCTCAGGATTCTCCCAGATGAGCTGCAGGAAGCTTGTGTGGAGAGGGAAGTCTGGGTATTTCTGCTTCGACTCTTAGACCCGGCAACGGATAAAGCGTAAGAAAATGGATGGATGTATATAGTCTTTGTAATGTGTAATGTGTTGAAAGGAATGAGTTCAATTTAATCAGAAGTTGAGGAGAAGGGGGTAATGGGGCTTTCTTGTAGGCTATACTTAAGTTTTATATCACACTGGAATATGTTGTATTTTATATTCTCATGTAACCAAAAGTATTATAGAATGTGGGCTCTATATTTTGATATGTTTTACTTTCATGTGTATTACAAGATTGTATGACAGGAGCATTGATTGTGGAACTCTGAGAGGGCTTGCTAAATTCTGGAAAGTTCTCATTGAGGAAGCAGAGGCGTAGATGGTGACATAGCAATGGGAAAGTGACAAAGGAAGAACCAAATTTGGGCATGCGTATAATCTTGGAGGGCTATAAAGGCTAGAATCAAAAGAGAGACGAGGAGATGTCTCCGTGGAGTAGGATTGGAAACAACCTCCAAGGACTAGACGCAGTCCTTTCATCGCCTGGCGTTTGATCAGCCAACAACTTCAGGGGATAATTTACGGCAGAAGGGCTGTGGAAACATCTCCCTGCTTACAGCAGGTAGAGCGACGAGCACTGGGTTGGACAACCCGGGGAACAAGGCCTTTCTCGAACCACGAAGCTAACGCCCCCCACTACCGCACACCCACTGTTGTTTACGGAGCTAGCGTCTCCCAATATGGATAGAATCATTTATCGCACATTTGCACGTGGATGGCGTGACCATAGAACGATAGAACCGGGAAGCGCGGAGGAACAGGACTTTCTTTTGGATGGATGTTTTGCTGTGTAAGCAGTAACCGGTGACGAAGACAAGGAAGCTTCAGGTTAGCTCCGCCGCTTGTTGTGCTAACTCAGCTGTGCGCGCTAACCACAGACCTGTAGATTTCTCAAGAAAGTGGGGGCTAGTGGTCCGCTGTGATTGGTCACAATCTGGTCCCGAAAAACATTATCTTCCTTGTTTCATCAAAACTCGATCTAAAATATAATGTCACGCCAGCACAAACCTGTGCTACTTTTACTTCAAAAGGACGTATATCCCAATGCACTGCATGGACATGGATAGCACTTTCTTAATGAATACAAAAATAAAGTCAGTTAGTGCAGCTTTAAGTGTTAAACTAAGGTCTAGAGGTTTTTGAATTACTCTCTCTGTAGGTTATTTACAGCTGTCATCCACCACTAAATTGTTCAGGGGGTCAGAATCTGACCACCAAAGCCACACCTGACGAAATACCAAGAGCCGGAAACACCAGGAGCGAACCCTCAAACCTGAGGAGGCCGTGGGCAGTGAAGGAGGAAGAGCTGGGGGTCTCATCTCAGCAACTGAACCACAGCGGAAGTTGGGCAAACTCAGAGGGTCGAGTCAGGCTAATCGTTCCGTCTGTAACCCTGGAAACCAGCGGGCTTAAGGTCTGCTAATTTTACTAAATATTAAGAGGGTTGCACAATATATGTGTATAGAAATATACAGTATATATAAATATATATATATATATATAATATATATATATATATATATATTGACTGTTTTGCAACAAATGTGATGTAGTTATTACTATTTTTATGAAACTGTTATGATTTATCATAATATACATGGAGTGGGAGTTTATACGTTTTTCTTCTTCCCACTCCATTTCGAGCTCATGGAGCAATTTGTGTAAACAACAATAAGGCCTTTGTGAATATGTAAAGCTTGTTTTATTTATTGTTTCTTTGCAGGGGTGCATTAGTGATGTGGGTTGTATGTGTTGGTGTGGTCTCCACTGGTGCAACATTGTGCATTTGGATGCTTGTTGTGTGTACAAATGTTCACTGTTGTGGGCTCGGAAGGAACAAATAAATAAATAAAAATAAAAGCTGTCAAACTGACTGCTCTGAAACTATTTATGTTCTTGTCTGGCGCATACTGGGGACTTTTGCCTATGTATTCCAATGTGGTTTTACTGCAGATGGCAAATAAACTGGATCTGAGTCTGATATAAATCTGAAAAGTCAAACTTCTAACCTTGGTTTTAAGTACTTCAAGATTTATATATTTTTTCACCAATTTCCGCACAACACAACAGCCACTGCTTTGCTACAATAATACGTTTTTGAAGAATGTTGCATTCTTTCTTAACAATGACATCAAAGGCTCATCCATAGGTTAAATACAGGTGTAACTTAACACCGTTTGATGCAATGGGAAGTAGAAATGTCCCTCTTTCAAATGTATGTATAACTTTTGTTTCAAAGTCTGACACAGTATCATCATCACTGTGAACATCTGAACCCTCAGAGCTAATGACTCACTACCTTCATATTCTTAAACTAAGGATTTATCGAGAGAAGATACAACATGCTAAAGACAGAGGTGTCTTGTATTGTTGTTTACTACTTGGTGTGGTTCCTTAGCATGTTTTTGTGGCTTTTAAAGAGGGAATGTAATAATATTCATGTCAAAAGTATTGGAAAGTGAAATCCTTTAGACATCACACATAGAAAACTCCATTCTAACAAACAGACTATTTACAACAGTTAACCTTGGCCTCCTGAAACAAACATATCTTGATAAATATTATAATAAAACCAGATTCTTACCATAGAGCAGGTAGAATGAGACAAGTCCAACAGACATCATCAACAGCTCTCTCTGCAAAATGTGAGTAAGAACTGTTTCCTCGACTGGGGTTGAAAGTTGAAGTCAAGATTGACTGAAGTTTTGTCCATAAATTCATAAGTGACGGCTCCCTGCCTGTTGTGGTGAAGGCTTAAAGCTGTTTTGCAAATGTATTTGTTTGTCAAGCCTGTATTTAACTGTCAAACTACGGCCGGAATTAAGATGGCCGCAAACCAAGCCCCGGCGATACAAGATGGCGTCGTATTCAAATGAATGGTTTGTGCTCAGTGGCACATGTGCCACCACGGGCACCGAGAGATTGGCGGAACTCGCCCATATTTGGGCATTGTCTGGTCCTTCCAGTTCTGTGCAGTGGACGAGCTCCCATGATGCTTTGCACCAAATATGTGTGTGTGGCTCTCGTACAGTAAACAAAAACATGACCAATCAGAGCTGCTGATCAGAGCAGAGTTTGTGGCACTAAAGTTTGAATTTAAAGAAAACCAAAGGGTTTAAGACGAAGAAAAAAGTTCAGGATGACAAGGGACACTAAAATCCCCACAAAATCCGTCCTTTGTGAAAGCTGTAGATGCTCTGTCAGGTTCTCAGTCAGGTTCTCAGTCAGGTTCTCAGTCAGGTTCTCAGTCAGGTTCTCTGTCAGGTTCTATGTCAGGTTCTATGGTTAAATGCATCCAGGAAAGGTTCAACATCAGAGAATCAAATTATAATCTTAGAGGAACTGACATTTACCAAAGGGTCACTGCCAGGACCAAAGCAAAGTGTAGATGTGTCTCAGTTAGAGGAGTTGCTGTCTGGAATGGTCTGGATGAGTCACTAAAGAAAACTACATCCATCAAGATTTTCAAAAATGTCCTTAAAATTCATGTTATAAATAAATATAGAGAATTAGAATAAATAAATAATATGAAAGCAATTGTCAACATTATTATTATTATTATTATTACCATTATAATATTGTTTATATCATCAAAACAATTTGTATGAATCCTCATTTACCTACATGTCTTTTCTGCAAAAATATAGATATGTATTTTCTATTGTTTTTCCATGCTGAAAGCTAATTGTTGCTGTTTTAGTTGTTCTGGTTATAGTAAGCTATAGTAGGGTTAGGCTTCTATAAGTGTTTCACTTCAGCCTAAACCCTTTCAGTCAACTTTACTTTTTACTTTATTTTTTTCAAATGATCTGTATTGTCTGAGTTGTGAAAAAGTGACTGAACAAAAAAATAAACTACTACTACTACTACTACTATGTCAGGTTCTATGTCAGGTTCTCTGTCAGGTTCTCTGTCAGGTTCTCAGTCAGCTGAGGTCGAGCTGTTTTAGTTTACATTGAGGTCTACGGGGAACATTTCTGGGTAGCCCACGTTAATTTAGTCTGTTTTAGTCTGGTTTAGTCTGCAGTACCGTGAGAATCCCTCGAGCACATGGTCCTTCAGCTCCAAGCTAGTAACAGGTTTCCTCCGGGTACTCTGGTTTCTCCTACCACTAAAAATATGTACAATAGTACTGTGCATGCGCCTCCTGTTCTGGCGACCCCGCTCCCATCTCTGGAGTGAGTGGACAATTGCCCAAAATAACAATTGTAAACCGCTTTGTGACTCTGGTCTGTGAAAGGCGGTATATACAGTGCACCGCCTTGTATGTCTTCCATTTTCTGATAATTGCTCCCACAGTTGATTCGTTCACACCCAGCTGCTTGCCTATTGTAGATTCACTCTTCCCAGTCTGGTGCAGGTCTACAATTCTTTTCCTGGTGTCCTTCGACAGCTCTTTGGTCCTGGCCATAGTGGAGTTTGGAGTCTGACTGTTTGAGGCTGTGGACAGGTGTCTTTTATACAGATGAGTTGAAACAGGTGCCATTAATACAGGTAAGGAGTGGAGGACAGAAGAGCTTCTTAAAGAAGAAGTTACAGGTCTGTGAGAGCCAGAGATCTTCCTTCTTTGAAGTGACCAAATACTTATTTTCCACCATAATTTACAAAAAAAATTCTTTAAAAATCCTACAATGTGAATTCCTGGATTTTTTTTCACATTCTGTCTCTCACAGTTGAAGTGAACCTATGATGAATATTACAGACCTCTGTCATTATTTTAAGTGGGAGAACTTGCACAATCGGTGGCTGACTAAATACTGTTTTGCCCCACTGTAAATAAAGATTACTTACTTACTTACTTAACACCCTATCCAGTTATTATAATAGATCCATGCTGCTAACACACAAACACAAACTGAGACTTGTTTCTACGATACACGTGATCACAAAGTGACTGTAGACCAGGGCTGCCCACACTTTATCAAACCAACACATACTTTTTCACCAACCTCGGATTTATGTGGGTGTTACGAGTCAGAACATCACAGTTGATTCTTGATCAACTAATGTTGTTGTTGGTTGGAAGGAAAGAAAGAAATGCTTAAAAGTGAGGAGTTCTCAGAATTGTTGATGGTACAAAGTCCACATCCATCTGCCACAAATGTACAGTATGTTTTCCTATTCAAATCAGTGGCTTGTGCTCAGTAGTGCTGAAAGATTAGCAGAACTCTCCCATATACCTGTTGAGATCCTGGTTGCTGTGTTTTGAAGAAGCTGAAAGCTCTTTATAGAGGATTCTCTCTATAAAGAGTACAGCAGTCAAGCCTTGAGGCGACAAAAGCGTGGATTCATTTTCCGCATCACTTTTAGGAAAGATAGTCCTGATTTTATTAATGCTGCGCAGGTGGAAATACAATGTTTTAGATGCTTGGTTTATATAAGCCTTGAAGGAGAGTTCTTGGTCGATTACAACTCCAAGATTCCACCCTTTCTTCTGGGTGCTATGCTAACGTTAGCGAGTGTGATTTATCACTTCTGTCTTTTCAGGATTGAGGAGCAGATAGTTGAGAGTCATCCATGTTTTTAACTGATCTGCCTTTTTACCGATCCTTGTGGATCATCGAAGTTTACTTTAGAATAAGAGGAAGAGTTTTGATCCATAATGACAAACTGATACCAATCCAATAAATATGATTCAAACCAGTGCTGTTGCTCTGAGACCTTGGGAGCAGAGGGGGAGCAGAGAGGGAGGTGTCATGATAATTGTCTTGCAGTGCCTTAACTCTTTTTATGCATTTATTATTATTTCAAATGATGTTTTATCTTTTATCTTTATCCTGCTGTGTTTGTGCGAATGTGAGCAAGGGACTAATCCACAATTTCTTTCTTAATCCATGAAGTATTTATCTATTCTATCTATCTGGTCCTGGTCCTATCTTTGGACCTGGTCCTGGTCCTGGCCCTGTCCCTTATCCAGGTGGAATAAGACATTTACACCTATTTCTCAAATATGGAGCTTCGCGAAGGTTCACTCTGGAAGACTGACTGCTAAAGCCTATCCCCTCCAGGCCTGCCTCTCATCCTCGGCCTATCGCACAGCAAACGCCCATTCCCAGCCAACCTATGCAGGCCAGGCAAGCAGCTTAAAAGCGGAGACTCCCACTTCACGGCCTTCTCAAGCCTCGCAAACCACCGCCTCCCCTCCTCCGCCTCTCTCTCCTTGCTCGAGCGTGCGCTCTTTCCTGCTGCCCTAATGCCACCACCAGTTCCTAGGCCTCGGGGGGATTGTGCGCGCACTCAGCAGGAACCTCGCTGGCCCTAATTGCCGCACGGGGGCCTAGGACGCCAAACTACCTATCATTAAAAACATTCAAACTGCATTTTGTTTTCTGAGTCTCTCCAGATTGAAATAAGGACAAGGAAAAATGCTAACCAAATGGCTAAAGAAACAAGCAAACCATGCAGCGTCAGGGGATGCCGCAGACCTGGATCAAGAGGGAGGAAAGAGCAGAGAGAGGGCGGGAGCGCACCAGGACAGCGCTTCTTATACTCCCGACCCCGGCTGCAAAATAAGTTACAAAAACGTTATCAAAAATAACCTATAAAATATACTTATACAAAAGAACAATCTTACAAAAAAACTATAAAACCCAAAATTACCTGGACAAAAAGAAGAGTGGGGAAAAGGTGCCCAAACATAACAGTTATGTCCATCTTTAACTGAGTTGTAAATGTTTTGCAGCTCTGAGCCTTGTGTTGTAACATACTCAAATAAGTTTTAGTTTAATGGACCCAAGGAAGAGGAGTGGATTTGGATCCAAACAAATAATTAGAGATTTATCTTACCTTCGTGGCAGACAAACTTGTATTTAAAGTGACAGGGGGCGTCACTCCAAACATAGGACTGCGACTGAGAACCACAGTGCTCTGATCCTCCTGAATTGCCTGGCTCCCCTGTTGACCAACTCCTGAAGGCACTGGGGCTGCCGTCGGACCACCTCCAGGAGACCCGGTACAGACCAATCCAGACTATGGATGATGAGGAGGGGAGAAGATCCTTCACTGCCTGGGTTTCTGCAGAGGTCTGGATCGTGGCCAGGTCCTGATAGTTCTGTCTGCAGTAGGACTGAGAGTCGGACCAGGACTTTAGGGAAGTGATCCGGAAGTACTCTTTAAGGCCTGATGGTTGGACTGATGAAGTAAAGGTGAGTGTCAGAGATACAAATACAAATAACCAAACAAATACAGACAAACAAATCTCACCTCGGTAACAAACAAAGGCATATGTAGTGGTACAGTATTGATCGAGCCAGAAACCATTTTGCATGAGGACACAAAGTTGTTTTCCACCATAATTGTCAGGCTGACCATTGTTCCAGTTCTGGTACTGTCCCGGGCTGGTGGTCCCAGTGGAAGACCATCTCCAGGAGTTGGACTCAGAGGTCATCTGCTTCCAGGAGGCGGGGTCATCAAACAGTCCGATCCAGGCGGTGTTTCCAGAGGGAATCTGTAACTTCTTCACTTCTTCTGTGTTTTCCAACTTCGCCAGGTCCTTGTGGCGCTCCCTGCAGTACTCACGAGCATCATCCCAGGTCTTCTTTAAGTTTATATATTTGTACACAATAACACAGTGCACGAGGGCGAAGCCTGGATTGGGAAAGACAGAGGTTAGTGTGTTTAGGATGATGTCCCACAGCATGATACTGCCACCACCAGCTTTGACAATGGGGTAGAGTGAGTAGTGGTTTTCCGTCACTCATAGTGTCAGGCCACAGCTCTTTCTTCCACATGTTGGATACGTCCCACTTTGCTTCTTGTGGATTTATTTCAACACAGACTTTGTATTTACGACTCGTCTGTAAAGGCCAGATTTTTGAAAAGTATTGATAATATTATCAATACTTTATAGGGGCGACAGTAGCTCAGTTGGTAGAGCATTGGCCTTAAGGCCAGAAGGTTGTGGGTTCAATTCCCACCTCTGCACCTTCTCCATCGACTCCCACGGATGACTGCTGTCGTTGTGTCCTTGGGCAAGACACTTAACCCCACTTTGCCCAAAGCCCCCACTGAAAGATCAAGGCTATGCTCACACTCAGAGAGCAGCCGTCCTCCTGTGGACTCACCACCTGCAGAGGGTCAGTGAGGGGCTGGTGCTATGAGACTTGGGTGGCATCTCTGACTGCCACCCCCCTGACCCAAAAATGGATTAAAGGGTAGAAAATGGATGGATGGATGGATGGATTGATAATATTTTCCTCATGTACAGATTGCCTCAGGTGAGCTGTGAATGTCTGCAGCTCCACCAGATTGTCTACTGGCCCTGCACCCTCTGGGCCTCCACCTCCGGGGCAAGCCCCTCACTGTTGTTGTGCCTACAGGCCTAACAGCAGTGCAGAGTACCCAGCCTTCTTGGAGTCCTTGGGAGGGATACTGAACCGTTCAGTGACCGGGGACTTATTCTCCTGGGGGACTTCAACGCCCATGTTGGGGACGCCAGTGACACTTGGAGAGCGGTGAAGTGGAAGAATGGCCCTGATCTGAACCAAAGCTGTGTTCAGTTGTTGGACTTCTGAGGGACTTCCGACGGACTTTCAACTAATCAGAATCAGAATCAATTTTTTGCCATGTAAGTAACAGAAAGGAGCTCGGGGTAGAGCCGCTGCTTCAGTCACTCGCTGTGGTTGCACATCTGTTCAGAGGATCCTGGACTCCTCAGGATTCTCCCAGATGAGCTGGAGGAAGCGTGTGTGGAGAGGGAAGTCTGGGTTTTTCTGCTTCGACTGTTAGACCCGGCAACGGATAAAGCGTAAGAAAATGGATGGATGTATATAGTCTTTGTAATTTATGTATAACTTTTGTTTCAATGTCTGACACAGTATCATCATCACTGTGAACATCTGAACCCTCAGAGCTAATGACTCACTACCTTCATATTCTTAAACTAAGGATTTATCGAGAGAAGATACAACATGCTAAAGACAGAGGTGTCTTGTATTGTTGTTTACTACTTGGTGTGGTTCCTTATTATGTTTTTGTGGCTTTTAAAGAGGGAATGTAATAATATTCATGTCAAAAGTATTGGAAAGTGAAATCCTTTAGACATCACACATAGAAAACTCCATTCTAACAAACAGACTATTTACAACAGTTAACCTTGGCCTCCTGAAACAAACATATCTTGATAAATATTATAATAGAACCAGATTCTTACCATAGAGCAGGTAGAATGAGACAAGTCCAACAGACATCATCAACAGCTCTCTCTGCAAAATGTGAGTAAGAACTGTTTCCTCGACTGGGGTTGAAAGTTGAAGTCAAGATTGACTGAAGTTTTGTCCATAAATTCATAAGTGACGGCTCCCTGCCTGTTGTGGTGAAGGCTTAAAGCTGTTTTGCAAATGTATTTGCATAACCTCAGAGCCCTCAGCCAGGGCTCTGAGGTCTGTGGATCAGAACCTCCTGATGGTTCCACGCACTCGCTTCAAGACCAGAGGAGACAGGTCCTTCCAGGCTGTTGCTCCCAAGCTTTGGAACGTTCTCGCGCTCTCTCTGCATTCTATAGAGTGTGTTGAGTGCTTCAAAAGTCAACTTAAAACCCATTTATTTGTTCAGGTTTGTCTTGCTGTATTCTTTTACATGGTTGTCTTGGCCTTTAAAAATGTGTATGTCTAATTTATATGTCTGTTTTTATACTATGTGAAGCGCTTTGTGACCCTGGTCTGTGAAGGGCGCTATATAAATAAAGTTTACTTACTTACTTACTTATTTGTTTGTCAAGCCTGTATTTAACTGTCAAACTACGGCCGGAATTAAGATGGCCGCAAACCAAGCCCCGGCGATACAAGATGGCGTCGTATTCAAATGAATGGTTTGTGCTCAGTGGCACATGTGCCACCACGGGCACCGAGAGATTGGCGGAACTCGCCCATATTTGGGCATCGTCTGGTCTTTCCAGTTCTGCAGAGTGGACGAGCTCCCATGATGCTTTGCGCCAAATATGCGTGTGTGGCTCTCTTGCAAGACTGATCAGAGATGCAGCCAAGAGGCCCATGATCACTCTGGATGAACTGCAGATAACTACAGCTGAGGTGGGAGAGTCTGTCCATAGGACAACGAACAGTCGTGCACTGCACAAATCTGGCCTTTATGGAAGAGTGGAAGAAGAAAGCCATTTCTCAAAGATATCCATAAAAAGTCTCATTTAAAGTTTGCCACAAGCCACCTGGGAGACACACCAAACATGTGGAAGAAGGTGCTCTGGTCAGATGAAACCAAAATCGAACTTTTTGGCCACAATGCAAAACGATATGTTTGTCGTAAAAGCAACACAGCTCATGACCCTGAACACACCATCCCCACTGTCAAACATGGTGGTGGCAGCATCATGGTTTGGGCCTGCTTTTCTTCAGCAGGGACAGGGAAGATGGCTAAAATTGATGGGAAGATGGATGGAGCCAAATACAGGACCATTCTGGAAGAAAACCTGTTGGAGTCTGCAAAAGACCTGAGACTGGGACGGAGATTTATCTTCCAACAGGACAATGATCCAAAACATAAAGCCAAATCTACAATGGAATGGTTCACAAATAGACGTATCCAGGTGTTAGAATGGCCAAGTCAAAGTCCAGACCTGAATCCAATCCAGAATCTGTGGAAAGAGCTGAAGACTGCTGTTCAAAAATGCTCTCCATCCAACCTCACTGAGCTCGAGCTGTTTTGCAAGGAAGAATGAGCAAGAATTCCAGTCTCTCGATGTGCAAAACGGATAGAGACATACCCCAAGCGACTTGCAGCTGTAATTGCAGCAAAAGGTGGCGCTACAAAGTATTAGTGCAATATTGCACGCCCCACTTTTCAGTTTTTTATTTGTTAATAAAGTTTAAATTATCCAATAAATTTCGTTCCACTTCACGATTGTGTCCCACTTGTTGTTGATTCTTGACAAAAAATTCAATTTTTATATCTTTGTTTGAAGCCTGAAATGTGGCGAAATGTTGAAAGGTTCAAGGGGGCCGAATACTTTCACAAAACACTGTATGTGGGTGTTAGAACATCACAGTTGTTTGATTCTTGATGTATTTGTGATTCATGAGCAACCGTCAATCATAATGACAAACTGATACCGATCCAATAAATATGATTTAAACCTGTTGCTCTGAGACCTTGGGAGCAGAGGGGGAGCAGAGAGGGAGGTGTCATGATAATTGTCTTGCAGTGCCTTAACTCTTTTATGTATTTATTGTTATTGGGTGATTCTCTGTAACGGGTGCCTTTCGGGTCCTCAGAATTCTGAAAAATGACCAAAAATTATTGCATTTCTGAATAATGCATCTGACAAAGAGTATTTGAACCTCTGGTAAAATACTGTTTCCCACCTTAGACATGGAATAACAAATATTACTAGGAATTTGCCATTCATTTTGTTACGGGGTTGAAGATTCTAGCTAAAAGTGTCCATATCTCCCATTTTAGCAAACATGTTTGTACCACATGGCATTTGGAAATCATGAAATTGATATTCTTTTCCACACAGTTGTTTGATTCTTCCTAAACATTATCTAAATATTGTTTATCTGTGTAACAGAGTTGAAACGTTGAGCATGACGATGTCAATCTCACAGCAACAAAAATGAAATACGGTTAAAAATGTTTGCTAATAGAGCTTCGGAGGGTGACGTCACGTAGTAGCAGCGCCGCCATTTTGTCGGTCCACTCCTGCAAGCGACCGTCGCTAATAAACGTGCTAGGCTGAAGGTAGACAGGTAAACGGCAGTGATGGTTCGGACGTGTTGCATATTTGGCTGCAATGTAAGGTCGCACGACCGTAAAGGTAATAGAATAGAGCATGGGCTTTCCTTTTATGTTGTACCGGGGTGGAAGAAACACGAGGGAGACCAGGTATCTGATGTTCGCAAAAGAAGACGGCTAGCTTGGTTGGCAGCAGTGAGACGAGCCGATCTCAATTTCTACTCTGTCACCCCCAAACATCTGCTGGTGTGCTCCAGACATTTTATATCTGGTAAGTTCTAATTGTTGTTTTTCCAATACACGATTGTTACGTTCAGTCCTAGGATTCTTTTAAATGTTATCTCCTTTGCAAGGGCTAAAAGTACCGGCTATTTATGCATAAATGTGACTTTGGTTGGGTCTGTGGGAAGGTGGGGTTAAGGGTTGGACATTTTGGATTGTTTTAAACTAAACTGTAAAGCACTTTGTGTTTCATACAACTTTGTGTTGTATGAAAAACGCTTTATAACGCGTTGTTTATAAATAATATGTGATCTTCTTAGGATAGGTTAGCTTTAGCTCTAGCTTTAGCCACAACATTTTTCAACATTACTGTGCCTTATTGTTTTTCACTGTGTTTAGTTAATATGTTAATTATGTTTGCGTGTTCCAGGTAAACCAGCTTATGAAATGGATGAGACAAATCCTGACTGGGCCCCAACACTGCATTTGGGACACTCGGAAGTTCTTACCTCACAATCAGACCGTTATGAACGGAGACTTAAAAGACAGAAAAGAGAAGAAATGAGAGGTAAATGCAACATCAATCAATAACATGTGGTGTTTCTGTCGTGTCACTATCTCTCTATGTACTAAATGATATGTTCACTTTCATCATTGCTTGACATAAAGTTTCCTTGTAGAGAAACGTTGTTATAAGTTTCATCCATGATTTTATATTTCTAACAGTACATCTCCTTAATTTTACATCTCTCACAAATATCTAATTTGTATTCTTATTTTTTAGATTGTTACTTTAACGTTATTCCTTTTTTTTTATTAATTGTGAAATATTATACAAGCTACTGTGATAACTCAATTTCCCTTGTGGATCAATAAAGTCTGTCTATGTCCAATTGTCTTATTCAGGCATTCAGTTTGGAGCAGCCGAACCTGAAGGTGAGGATGTAGCCGAAATTGAAGAGGTGGCAGGGATGGACATCATTGAAGGACAACACCATAATGACCATGTGATGGAGACAGAGGGATGTCTTGAACCAGTTCAAACTACTGAAGGAGTATGCAATGAAATTCTGACAGATGGACACCAAGAAGCTAAAAAGAAGACTGAATGTGAGTCCTGTGAGCAGAGAAGAGCAGAAATAAATAGATTGTTGGAAGAGAACAGAAGGCTCAGGTCAGAGGTTAGAAAGAAAGAACTGAATATAAATTTTGTAAAGGACAACACAGAAAAAGTTAAATATTATACTGGACTTCCTTGTTTTGCCATTTTACTTTCATTGTTCAACAATGTGAAAACTTTCCTTCCTGCTACAAAGAAACTGACACAATTCCAAATGCTTCTACTGACACTCATGCGTCTGAGACTTGATCTTCCAGTGCAACATCTTTGTCATCTTTTCAATGTATCTGACAAAACTCTGTCATCCGCCTTTGCGGACACAATAGAAGTTTTACATGCTCGCTTAGGACCCCTGGTGCACTGGCCCGAGAGGCATTGTCAACAAGCCACAATGCCATCTCAGTTTGTTGAAACTTTTGGAAAACGGGTAGCAATCATTATTGATTGTTTTGAGATTCGTACAGAGAGACCATCAAATTTAAAGGCACGTGCACAAACATACTCTCACTATAAAGGTACACACACCATGAAATATCTAATTGGTGTAGTAGCTCCCATTTAATGATAGGTAGCTACTACAGGCAACATTTTGGGAACATTTTGATTTCCCCTTCACAGTAGCATAAATGAAATTGGGAAAATTCACTAAAAATCAACAGAGATATTTTTCCCAGTTTTGATGCTTGTAGTAGCTCCATTTGAACAATAGCTAACTACTACAGCCAAAATGTTGGGAAAAATATTGTTTTCCCCTTCACAGTAGCAAAAATAAAATTGAAAAAATTCACTAAAAATCAATAAAGATATTTTCCCCAGTTTTGATGGGTGTAGTAGCTCCCAATAAATGATAGCTAGCTACTACAGGCAAGAATTTGGGGAAAATATGTTTTTACCCTTCACAGTAGGAATAATGAAATTGGAAACATTAACTAAAAATCAACAAAGACTTTTTACCCAGATTTGATGGGTGTAGTAGCTCCCATTCAATGATAGCTATCTACTACAGCCAAACTTTTGGGAAAAATATTGTTTTCCCCTTCACAGCAACAAAAAGGAAATTGGAAAAATTCACTAAAAATCAACAAAGACAGTTTTCCCAGTTTTGATGGGTGTAGTAGCTCCCATTCAATGATAGCTAGCTACTACAGCCAAACTTTTGGGAAAAATATTGTTTTCACCTTCACAGTAACGAAAATGAAATTGGAAAAATTTACTAAAAATCAACAAAGACAGTTTTCCCAGTTTTGATGGGTGTAGTAGCTCCCATTCAATGATAACTAGCTACTACAGCCAAACTTTTGGGAAAAATATTGTTTTCCCTTCACAGTAACAAAAATGAAATTGGAAAAATTCACAAAAAATCAACAAAGACTTTTTTCCCAGTTTTGATGGGTGTAGTAGCTCCATTTGAACAATAGCTAGCTACTACAGGCAAGAATTTGGGAAAAATATTGTTTTCCCCTTCACAGCAACCAAAAATGAAATTGGAAAAATTCACTAAAAATCAACAAAGACAGTTTTCCCAGTTTTGATGGGTGTAGTAGCTCCATTTGAACAATAGCTAGCTACTACAGGCAAGAATTTGGGAAAAAGATTGTTTTCCCCTTCACAGCAACCAAAAATGAAATTGGAAAAAATTCACTAAAAATCAACAAAGACTTTTTTCCCAGTTTTGATGGGTGTAGTAGTTCCCATTCAATGATAGCTAGCTACTACAGGCAAGAATTTGGGGTAAAAAATGTTTTCCCCTTCACAGTAGGAATAATGATATTGGCCTGACACACTGTATTACAGACTATATTCTCTTCTGTGTGGATAACACTGTACCAACTAAGAAGGTACGGTGTTTTTCTAACAACCACCCATGGATGACCTCTGAGCTTAAAGCCCTCCTGAACCTCAAGAAAAGGCCTTTCATCTCAGGGGACAAAGAGGAGCAGAAGAGGATCCAGCACGAGCTCCAGTGGAGGATCAGGAGGGCCAAGAGGGAATATGGGAAAAACTGGAGCAGAAGCTGGCCCAGGGAAACGCCCGTGACGTGTGGAGAGGCCTAAAGAACATCTCTGGCTGTGGACAAAGGGCCAGCGGGACAGCGGATGGAGACCAGCACCGGGCAGATGAATTTAACCAATTCTTCAACCGGTTTGATTCTCCCCCCTCTCCATCTGCCCCCACTCCCGCCCCCACCTCTTCACACGTCCCCAGCCCAGTGGACACCGCCCAGTGGACACTGCCTTTGGCTGCCCTGGGCCCTCCTGCCCCCACATCCCCAGCCCCCACCTCTGACACTACACCCCAGTCTTCCCCCCTCTCCATCACACCGGACCTGGTGAAGAGTCAGCTCCAGCGACTGAAGCAGAGGAAATCCGCAGGACCGGACGGGATCAGTCCCAGGCTGCTGAGGACCTGTGCAGACCAGCTCTCTGGGGTCCTCAGCTACATGTACAACCTGAGCCTCAGCCTGGAGAAGGTCCCTGTCCTGTGGAAGACCTCCTGTGTGATCCCGGTTCCTAAAACACCCATCTCCGCTCCGTGGTCAGCCCCACCCTGGACCCACTGCAGTTCGCCTACAGGCCCAACATCGGAGTAGAGGACGCCGTCATCTGCTTCCTGCAGCGGACGCTCTCCCACCTGTAGCCTGCCGGGAGCGCTGTGAGGGTCATGTTCTTCGACTTCTCCAGTGCTTTCAACACCATCAGACCGGCACTGCCGGTCTGATGGTGAGGACAGTAGCCTCACTGCATGGACCATCAACTACCTCTCGGACCGACCACAGTGCGTGCGGCTGCGCAGCTGTGAGTCTGAGGTGGTAGTCTGCAGCACTGGGGCCCCTCAGGGCACTATCCTCTCACCGTTTCTCTTCACCATCTACACCTCAGACTTCACACACTACACACACAGCTGTCACCGGCAGAAGTTCTCTGACGACTCCGCCATCGTGGGCTGTGTGTCTGAGGGGAACGAACTGGAATATCGGTCGGTTATCAAGGACTTTGTCGACTGGTGTGAGCGCAACCACTTGTGCTTGAACACCAGTAAGACCAAGGAGATGGTGATTGATTTCAGGAGGAAACCACTTTCCCACACGCTGCTGAACATCCAGGGGGAGGACATTGAGCTGGTGGACAGCTTCAAGTACCTGGGTGTTCACATTAACAATAAACTGGACTGGTCCATAATACAAACGCCCTGCACAAGAAGGGCCAAAGTCGCCTCTTCCTTCTGAGGAGGCTGAGGTCCTTCGGAGTGAGCAGGCCTCTGCTCAGGACCTTTTATGACTCTGTGGTAGCTTCTGCCATTTACTACGCTGCCGTGTGCTGGGCCCCGGGCAGCACAGAGCGGGACAGAAACAGACTGAACAAGCTGGTCAGGAGGGCCAGCTCCACTCTGGGCTGCTCCCTGGACTCTGTGGAGGAGGTGAGGGACAGGAGGCCCCTGGACTCTGTGGAGGAGGTGAGGGACAGGAGGCCCCTGGACTCTGTGGAGGAGGTGAGGGACAGGAGGCCCCTGGACTCTGTGGAGGAGGTGAGGGACAGGAGGCCCCTGGACTCTGTGGAGGAGGTGAGGGACAGGAGGCCCCTGGACTCTGTGGAGGAGGTGAGGGACAGGAGGGTCTAGTCAAAGTCACCTCCATCATGGACAACACCTCCCACCCACTGCACAGGACTGTAGAGGAGCTGAGGAGCTCCTTCAGTGGAAGACTGAGACACCCTCAGTGTAGGAAGGAGCGCTACCGCAGGGCCTTTATCCTGCACTACTACTGTTGACACTATATCTGACTGCCACTTTAAATTGCCACTTTTATTGTACATATATATCCTGCATGTAACATGTTTGCACATTTCCTCCTTTTGCACAATCTGAGTGTTTCTATCCATGCCAAACGTGACATGTAAATTTCTCCTTGTGAGATAAATAAAGCATATCTTATCTTATCTCTGAAAAATTAACTAAAAATCAACAAAGACACTTTTCAGGGTTTTGATGGTTGTAGTAGCTCCAATTGAACAGTAGCTAGCTACTACATGCAAGAATTTGGAAATATATATATACAGTGGGGCAAAAAAGTATTTAGTCAGCCACTGATTGTGCTAGTTCTCCCACTTAAAATAATGACAGAGGTCTGTAATTTTCATCATAGGTTCACTTCAACTGTGAGAGACAGAATGTGAAAAAAAATCCAGGAATTCACATTATAGGATTTTTAAAGAATTTATTTGTAAATTATGGTGGAAAATAAGTATTTGGTCACTTCAAACAAGGAAGATCTCTGGCTCTGACAGACCTGTAACTTCTTCTTTAAGAAGCTCTTCTGTCCTCCACTCGTTACCTGTATTAATGGCACCTGTTTGAACTCATCTGTATAAAAGACACCTGTCCACAGCCTCAAACAGTCAGACTCCAAACTCCACTATGGCCAAGACCAAAGAGCTGTCGAAGGACACCAGGAAAAGAATCGTAGACCTGCACCGAACTGGGAAGAGTGAATCTACAATAGGCAAGCAGCTTGGTGTGAACAAATCAACTGTGGAAGCAATTATCAGAAAATGGAAGACATACAAGACCACTGATAATCTCCCTTGATCTGGGGCTCCACGCAAGTTCTCATCCCGTGGGGTCAAAATGATCATGAGAACGGTGATCAAAAATCCCAGAACCACACGGGGGGACCTGGTGAATGACCTGCAGAGAGCTGGGACCAAAGTAACAAAGGTTACCATCAGTAACACACTACGACGACAGGGAATCAAATCCTGCAGTGCCAGACGTGTCCCCCTGCTGAAGCCAGTGCATGTCCAGGCCCGTCTGAAGTTTGCCAGAGAGCACATGGATGATACAGCAGAGGATTGGGAGAATGTCATGTGGTCAGATGAAACCAAAGTACAACTGTTTGGTATAAACTCAACTCGTCCTGTTTGGATACTGAGTTGCATCCCAAGAACACCATACCTACTGTGAAGCATGGGGGTGGAAACGTCATGCTTTGGGGCTGTTTTTCTGCTAAGGGGACACATCGACTGATCTGTGTTAAGGAAAGAATGAATAGGGCCATGTATCGTGAGATTTTGAGCCAAAACCTTCTTCCATCAGTGAGAGCTTTGAAGATGAAACGTGGCTGGGTCTTCCAGCACGACAATGATCCCAAACACACCGCCCGGGCAACAAAGGAGTGGCTCCGTAAGAAGCATTTGAAAGTCCTGGAGTGGCCTAGCCAGTCTCCAGACCTCAACCCCATTGAAAATCTGTGGAGGGAGTTGGGGCAAAATACCAGCTACTGTGTGTGCAAACCTGATAAAGACCTATAGTAATCGTTTGACCTCTGTTATAGCCAACAAAGGTTATATTACAAGGCATTGAAATGTCAATTCCTGGATTCTTTTTTTTCACATTATGTCTCTCACAGTTTAAATGTACCTATGATGAAAATGACAGACCTCTTTCATTATTTTAAGTGGGAGAACTTGCACAATCGGTGGCTGACTGAATACTTTTTTGCCCCACGTTATATATATATTTCCATATTCTTGCCTGTAGTAAATAACTACTGTTCAATTGGAGCTACTACACCCATCAAAACTGGGAAAAATATCTTTGTTGATTTTTTGTGATTTTTTCCAATTTCATTTTCATCACTGTGAAGGGGAAAACAATATTTTTCCCAAAAGTTTGGCTGTAGTAGCTAGCTATCATTGAATGGAAGCTACTACACCCATCAAAACTGGGAAAAAAGTCTTTGTTGATTTTTAGTGAATTTTTCCAATTTCATTTTTGTTGCTGTGAAGGTGAAAACAATATTTTTCCCAAATTCTTGCCTGTAGTAGCTAGCCATTGTTCAAATGGAGCTACTACACCCATCAAAACTGGGAAAACTGTCTTTGTTGATTTTTTGTGAATTTTTCCAATTTCCTTTTTGTTGCTGTGAAGGGGAAAACAATATTTTTCCCAAAAGTTTGGCTGTAGTAGCTAGCTATCATTGAATGGGAGCTCACTACACCCATCAAATCTGGAAAAAAAGTCTTTGTTGATTTTTAGTTAATTTTTCCAATTTCATTTTTGTTACTGTGAAGGGGAAAACAATATTTTTTCCAAAAGTGTGGCTGTAGTAGTTAGCTATCATTGAATGGGAGCTACTACACCCATCAAAACTGGGAAAATTATCTTTGTTGATTTTTAGTTAACTTTTCCAATTTCATTTTCATCACTGTGAAGGGGAAAACAATCATTTTTTCCCAAAAGTTTGGCTGTAGTAGCTAGCTATCATTGAATGGAAGCTACTACACCCATCAAAACTGGGAAAAAAGTCTTTGTTGATTTTTAGTGAATTTTTCCAATTTCATTTTTGTTGCTGTGAAGGGGGAAAACAATATTTTTCCCAAATTCTTGCCTGTAGTAGCTAGCTATTGTTTAAATGGAGCTGCTACACCCATCAAAACTGGTAAAACTGTTTTTCTTGATTTTTAGTGAATTTTTCCAATTTCATTTTCATTACTGTGAAGGGGGAAAACAATATTTTTCCCAAATGTTGCCCTTTAGTAGCTAGCTATCATTCAGTGGGAGCATTCTACACCGATCAAAACTGGGAAAATTTTCAAATGGAGCTACTACAAGCATCAAAACTGGGAAAAATATCTCTGTTGATTTTTAGTGAATTTTCCCCAATTCATTATGCTACTGTGAAGGGGAAATCAAAATGTTCCAAAATGTTGCCTGTAGTAGCTACCTATCATTAAAAGGGGGAGCTACTACACCAATTAGATATTTCATGGATGTGTGTACCTTTATAGTGAGAGTATGTTTGTGCACGTGCCTTTAATTTGATGGTCTCTCTGTACGAATCTCAAAACAATCAATAATGATTGCTACCCCGTTTTCCCAAAAGTTTCAACACCAACTGAGATGGCATTGTGGCTTGTTGACAATGCCTCTCGGGCCAGTGGCACCAGGGGATCCTAAGCGAGCATGTAAAACTTCTATTGTGGGTCCCAAAGGCGGATGACAGAGTTTTTGTCAGATACATTGAAAAGATGACAAAGATGTTGCAGCACTGGAAGATCAAGTCTCAGACGCATGAGTGTCAGTAGAAAGCATTTGGAATTGTGTCAGTTTCTTTGTAAGCAGGAAGGAAAAGTTTTCCACATTGTTGAACAATGAAAGTAAAATGGCAAAACAAGAAGTCCATATAATATTTAACTTTTTTCTGTGTTGTCCTTTACAAAATTTATATTCAGTTCTTTCTTTCTAACCTACTGACCTGAGCCTTCTGTTCTCTTCCAACAATCTATTATATTTCTGCTCTTCTCTGCTCACATGACTCACATTCAGTCCTTCTTTTTAGCTTCTTGTGTCCATCTGTCAGAATTTCATTGCATACTCCTTCAGTAGTTTAGAACTGGTTCAAGACATCCCTCTGTCTCCATCACATGGTCATTATGGTGTTGTCCTTCAAATGATGTCCATCGACCCTGCCACCCTCTTCAATTTCGGCTACATCCTCACCTTCAGGTTTCGACTGTCATCCAAACTCTGTTGTATTAAATATAGACTAAAAAGCAGATGTGAATTTGACTGACCCTGATTTGAACTCTGTCTCTTTCCTAAGCAAAAAGACCTGGTCTCCCCTTCTCTCTTTGTAGTCCAAAGTGCAGAATATGAGTTAATGATAGTTAATCTGGGGGGGGCAAAGATCTGCATTCCTAGATACTGCTAATCCTTTCCGTTGTTTGGAGAAGGAGATGGACCCAGAATCTGGAGGGACAGCCTTGAGAGTCTCCTACCTTATCTCAAGGAAGTAATATTTCTATAGAATTAGGGAGGGGTAGTGTGTGTGAATGATTTCTGTTTAGGTCTGGCGAGACGGAGGAGAAGACCTGATGGACCCGAGAACTGCCTGATACGACACGCCCCCTTCTTCCTGCACATCTTCTGATATGCTTTGGCTTGGCCTCAGTCAGCAGAGGGCCAGCGAGGGACATAGACAGAATAGCATAGTATAGGAGCTCTTTTGTTTGAATTTCTGTATCTGATTGTAAGGATAAATTAAATACAGATGTTAAACTTGGAGATCTTTTGTCTTACTTCTGCATCAACTTTGAACACGTCCGTCAGAGGGTATTTTTGACAACACATCCTAAACCCACTAACCTCTGTCTTTCCCAATCCAGGCTTCGCCCTCGTGCACTGTGTTATTGTGTACAAATATATAAACTTAAAGAAGACCTGGGATGATGCTCGTGAGTACTGCAGGGAGCACCACAAGGACCTGGCCACGTTGGAAAACACAGAAGAAGTGAAGAAGTTACAGATTCCCTTTGGACACACCGCCTGGATCGGACTGTTTGATGACCCCGCCTCCTGGAAACAGATGACCTCTGAGTCCAACTCCTGGAGATGGTCTTCCACTGGGACCACCAGCCCGGGACAGTACCAGAACTGGAACAATGGTCAGCCGGACAATTATGGTGGAAAACAACTGTGTGTCCTCATGCAAAATGGTTTCTGGCTCGATCAAGACTGTACCACTACTTATGCCTTTGTTTGTTACCGAGGTGAGTTTTGTTTGTCTGTATTTGTTTTTGGTTATTTGTATTTGTATCTCTGACACTCACCTTTAATTCATCAGTCCAACCATCAGGTCTTAAAGAGTACTTCCGGATCACTTCCCTAAAGTCCTGGTCCGACTCTCAGTCCTACTGCAGACAGAACTATCAGGACCTGGCCACGATCCAGACCTCTGCAGAAAACCAGGCAGTGAAGGATCTTCTCCCCTCCTCATCATCCATAGTCTGGATTGGTCTGTACCGGGTCTCCTGGAGGTGGTCCGACGGCAGCCCCAGTGCCTTCAGGAGTTGGTTAACAGGGGAGCCAGGCAATTATGGAGGATCAGAGCACTGTGGTGTTCAGTATGATAGCTTTTGGCATGATAACCCCTGTTCCTTGAAACAACCGTTTGTCTGCCAAGAAGGTAAGAGAAATGTCTTTGAGAAGTATTTGGTTCACATCCCATTGTCCCTCATAAGTTATACCCATGAATGGGAAGCGATGAGTTTCTGGTCTTTGGTAGTTCTGGTTACGATCTTCTTTTGCAAAAACTGCAGCAGAACCGACTCCTCTACAATCTCTACAGTCTCTACAGTCTCTTCAGTCTCTACAGTCTCTCTACAGTCTCTCTACAGTCTCTAAAGTCTCTACAGTCTCTACAGTCTCTTCAGTCTCTACAGTCTATACAGTCTCTCTACAGTGTCTACAGTCTCTACAGTCTCTACAGTCTCTCTACAGTCTCTAAAGTCTCTACAGTCTCTACAGTCTCTACAGTCTCTACAGTCTCTTCAGTCTCTACAGTCTATACAGTCTCTCTACAGTGTCTACAGTCTCTACAGTCTCTACAGTCTCTCTACACTCTCTACAGTCTCTACAGTCTCTCTACAGAGACTGCGGGCGGCACGGTGGCTGAGTGGTTAGCACTCTCGCCTCTCGACAAGAAGGTCCTGGGTTCGAATCCCGGTCGGACCAGGACCTTTCTGAGTGGAGTTTGCATGTTCTCCCCGTGTCTGTGTAGGTTTCCTCCGGGTACTCCGGTTTCCCCTACCACTAAAAACATGTACCCCTATACACGTGCAAGGACATTTTCAGAATTTTCTGGTCTTGTCTTCATGACAAAAATACTATTTCTCTGCGTCAAAAAGCGATCGTGAAAAATCCGGAAGTAGTTCCGGCCGCTCAATAAACGCAAATGCCAATCAATCAACGCAATGAAATGTTAATCGGAGAGTAATTTATACATATCCAGTCTTAATACAAGTGCACGGAAGTTTTCTGAATTTTCCGTTTACGTTTTCATGACAAAAACACTGATGTAATGCGAGAAAAGGCGATCTCGAAAAACCCGGAAGTAGATACCGGCACATTTTAGGAACATTTGCAGAGGATTGAATTATGGATTTAGGTTAAGTTTATGTTTGGGTCACTCACCGCTGATGTTCAGGATTCTTTGTTCAGTTTTCATGCAGTTCCAGAGAGTTCTAGTTTGGAAGTTGCCAGCCTAACTGTTACTAGCATAAACCTTTGGGCATTCCTAAAAGTGGACTGAAGTTTATATTGTGTGTTCTGTTGGTACAAAGCCGTATAATAAGCAGACCGCAGTCCGCTTCGCCCTGTCGGTACTTATTTTCCGATAATGACCTGCGTAATATACGTTATCCCTTACATATTTGTGAAAAAAAAAAAAAAATTTACATGATATAATATCAGGCTTTGCTGACGCGGAGGGTCTACTGTTGGTTTGTTGAACTTGGCTCAGGATTCACACTTTTGTGCTTCTTTAACACATACAGATGCGATTTCAAGGACCCAGACTAAGATCACGCTCCAGACGACAGCGAACATGTGCGAGAAGACGATTAGAGACAAGTTTTTACGAGCAGTAAGTTCACAAATGTCTGAGTAACTGTGATGTACAGAAGTCTGGATGTTCATTATCGTCTGGTTCACTTTAACTGGTTCTGGTTCACTTTAACTGGTTCTGGTTCTCTTTAGCTGGTTCTGGTTCACTGTAACTGGTTCTGGTTCACTGTAACTGGTTCTGGTTCACTTTAGCTGGTTCTGGTTCACTGTAACTGGTTCTGGTTCACTTTAGCTGGTTCTGGTTCACTTTAGCTGGTGCTGGTTCACTTTAACTGGTTCTGGTTCACTTTAACTGGTTCTGGTTCACTGTAACTGGTTCTGATTCACTTTAACTGGTTCTGGTTCACTTTAACTGGTTTTGGTTCACTTTAGCTGGTTCTGGTTCACTTTAGCTGGTTCTGGTTCACTTTAGCTGGTTTTGGTTCACTTTAACTGGTTTTGGTTCACTTTAACTGGTTCTGGTTCACTTTAGCTGGTTCTGGTTAACTTTAACTGGTTCTGGTTCACTTTAGCTGGTTCTGGTTCACTTTAACTGGTTCTGGTTCACTTTAACTGGTTCTGGTTCACTGTAACTGGTTCTGATTCACTTTAACTGGTTCTGGTTCACTTTAACTGGTTTTGGTTCACTTTAGCTGGTTCTGGTTCACTTTAGCTGGTTCTGGTTCACTGTAACTGGTTCTGATTCACTTTAACTGGTTCTGGTTCACTTTAACTGGTTCTGGTTCACTTTAGCTGGTTCTGGTTCACTTTATCTGGTTCTGGTTCACTTTAGCTGGTTTTGGTTCACTTTAACTGGTTTTGGTTCACTGTAACTGGTTCTGGTTCACTTTAACTGGTTCTGGTTCACTTTAGCTGGTCCTGGTTCACTGTAACTGGTTCTGGTTCACTTTAGCTGGTTCTGGTTCACTTTATCTGGTTCTGGTTCACGTTAGCTGGTTCTGGTTCACTTTAGCTGGTTTTGGTTCACTTTAACTGGTTTTGGTTCACTGTAACTGGTTCTGGTTCACTTTAACTGGTTCTGGTTCACTTTAGCTGGTTCTGGTTCACTTTAGCTGGTTCTGGTTCTCTTTAGCTGGTTCTGGTTCACTTTAGCTGGTTCTGGTTCACTGTAACTGGTTCTGGTTCATTTTAGCTGGTTCTGGTTCACTTTATCTGGTTCTGGTTCACTTTAGCTGGTTTTGGTTCACTTAAGCTGGTTTTGGTTCACTTTAGCTGGTTCTGGTTCATTTTAACTGGTTCTGATTCACTTTAGCAGGTTCTGGTTCACTTTATCTGGTTCTGGTTCTCTTTAGCTGGTTCTGGTTCACTTTAGCTGGTTCTGGTTCACTTTAGCTGGTTCTGGTTCACTTTAACTGGTTCTGGTTCACTTTAGCTGGTTCTGGTTCACTTTAGCTGGTTCTGGTTCACTTTAACTGGTTCTGGTTCACTTTAGCTGGTTCTGGTTCACTTTGGGGAAAACGTCAATCTGTGAACTATACATTTATTATTATTATTATTGAATCTTCTGCAGTCACTTCTTGTTTTTGTATTTCAGAGATTTTCAGTTGAAATGTCTTTTTCCGTTGGGTTTTCTCGTCTCATGGAACTTTTACTTTTGATGAATGTATCTTTTATAATATTTGAATTATCCATCCATGCGTCCATCCATTTTCTTCCGCTTCATCCGTTGTCGGGTCGCGGGGGCAGCAGTCTAAGCAGAGACGCCCAGACTTCCCTATCCACACACACCTCCTCCAGCTCGTCTGGGGGGACCCCAAGGCGTTCTGTGGTGACAGTTTTTGGAGTAATTACATTAAAACCAGCCGCAGCAAATACACGGACGTCAAAGGCCTTTTACCAATGCAGACAACCTTCTGACGCCATGCTGAGCTTTGTGAAGGTCCCTGCTGTCTGTCACACCCTTGTGTCTTTCCGTCTTGCATCTGTATGACCTGCACTTCCACCATTGTCTGTCTGTTCACACCCCATGCCACTGCCACCACAGGGGATGGCGCCGGCGCTTCCTGTGCGCCTCCTCACCGGTGGCCCCCTCCGCTCCGTTGTGGGCGTGACTATCTTTGGTGTGTGTTTTGTATACAGGAAGCTGGGGGCTCTGGCCCCCAGAGCTGAGCATGCTGCCGTTGTGTGCATATGCTGACTCTCCGCACTGTGCGTTAACAATAAACTTACGCTTTTGATCAGACAAAGGACCTTTGAGTTTCCTCCTTCATGGGGTATATAATTCTATAACAGTTCCCAGGCCAGCTGAGAGACATAGTCCCTCCAGCGTGTCCTAGGTCTTCCCCGGGGCCTCCTCCCGGTGGGACGTGCCCGGAACACCTCCCCAGGGAGGCGTCCAGGAGGCATCCGGAACAGTCTAATCGGCTGTTTTCTTTTACAGTACTGTTTTTGTTTATTGTATGTGGTGTAACAGGGCTGTAATAGCAGTGTAGGTGTGTAATAAGTGTGTAATAAGTGTGTAATGTCTGTCTCAGACCAGTCCCAGCCTCTAACTCAGACCAGTCCTAGACCATACCTCAGACCAGTCCCGGACCCTAACTCAGAGCAACACACGTCTGAACTCTGGAGGCATTGGAGAAACTGTCAGAATTGTGTAATAATTGTATATTTGTGTGTTTTTTGTCTGTATTTTTGTTGTCTGTTTTTATGTTATATGGACTCTTCATGTGTCTGAATTAAAGATTAAATAAAATAAATAAATAATCAACAAGGTCATGACTCCCCATCCTTCCACACCACCTCCCACCGTCGCAGCATCCACTCCCCACTTTTCACATGCATGGATTGTTGACAGAAAAGTGGAAAATAGAGAACCAGCCTCACTCAGCCAATCAGCTTTGTACCAAAGTGTCAGCATGTTGTGCTCTGATTGGTTCATATTTTACTTTTACAAACCGGTTCTTTTGGACAAACTACTGAGTTGTGAGAATGTTCCAAGTCTGAGGCAAAGAGCCAAAGAAATGTGAGCGAACACTGACACCTGGTGGACAGATGGAGTCAAAACAGACTTTTCATTCCAAATTCACAAACCAAGACTTTGATCTTTCTGTAATCACAAGTGATTGTTGTAGTAACAAAATGTAAATGTATTATTCCACATGGATAAGGGACAGGGCCACGACCAGGACCAGGACCAGGGACAGGGCCTAAGATAGGACCAGGACCAGGACCAGGAACAGGACCAGGGACAGGGCCTAAGATAGGACCAGGACCAGGACCAGGACCAGGACCAGGGACAGGGCCTAAGATAGGACCAGGACCAGATAGATAGAATAGATAAATACTTCATGGATTAAGAAAGAAATTGTGCATTAGTCCCTTGCTCACATTCGCACAAACACAGCAGGATAAAGATAAAAGATAAAACATCATTTGAAATAGGGTCGTTCTCGGTTCTTTTTGTGTCCCAGAGGTTTAACGCAAAGATTAAGA